ATATATTTTCCACTTAGAAAATAATAATTAATTTTTTGCCTACAAATTTTCCTTTGAAAAATTTAATAATCAAAAAAAGATACAAACATTTTTTTAAAAAAAAAAATTATAATAATTTGCACAGAATATTTTTTCTTCTAAATCTTTTATCATAAACGCTGTGAACTTAGCCGACGTAAAATATGATAAGAAAAGGCAGTGAGGTGCCTTATCATATATTTTATAGACTTTTCTCCACAAAATTCCAGTTCAATCCATATTTAGTATTTTACGAGAAAAGTGGTCGAAAAAATTAGCATTTTGGACCTATAACAATCACATGTATCGGCATAATTTTAATTGAGAGTCAGTTTTTAAAAATTCAAAATGGCGGATCCAATATGGCGGATTTTTTTTTAAATTTCAACGAAATCGTTTGAAACTAGATATTCGTGTGTTTTTAGGATCGCTGATTACGAATATGAAGTCAGTTTTTAAAAATTCAAAATGGCGGATTTAATATGGCGGACAATTTTTTAAAAAATTAGTTTTATTTCTATAAAATTTAGTATCTAGGGGTTTTCGGGGTCGCTGATTGCGAATTTAACGTCAGATTTTAAAAATTCAAAATGGCGGATACAATATGGCGGACAATTGTTTTCAAAATTGTTCGATTTCTATAAAATTTGGTATCTAAGGGTTCTCGAGGTCGCTGAATTACGAATCTAAAGTCAGATTTTAAAAATTCAAAATGGCGGATCCAACATGGCGGATATTTTTTTTTAATTTCAATGAAATCGTTTTAAACTAGACATTCGTGTATTTTTGGGGTTGCTGATTACGAATATGAAGTCAATTTTTTAAAACTACAAAATAGCAAATACAAAATTCGTTTTTGCAGTGATTAACAAAAAAAAATTCGACAAAGTTTCTTCATTCGCAAATTAAAACAATTCAATAAGCACTCTTGAAACTACTCAGCCTTTAAGATTACAAAATTTTCATTCACGATAATATATATGACCATAAACAAGTCAAGAAACAATAATTGCTTCGATTGTTTTACTGAGAGTTACGTAATGTAAATTAATAATTTAAATTTCTCCAATGTAATCACATAAAATACATAATGTTGTAAATTAGTGTAAATAAATAAGAAGGTAAATAATAAATGAAGCTATAAAAAAAACCATATAAAATGAAGGAAGTCTATATAGACGCGTAGAGTATATAACCTAACAGTGTAACAAGTGCAAATCGAAAGCAAATTCGGAAATGAACACCAGGGAAAATTTTTTTTCTTGCCCATCGCTTATCGTTTGCTTCGTTCCGACACTGGACGATCGCAAGTTCATACGCCAATTACCAATTGATTGCTTGCAAATTATAGGAAATTTCGTTCTACAGAAGCGAACGCGCATTCGTCTCTAACTATATCAGGGCACTTTGCCCATCAACTCTCTAAATTCTCATATCTCGTGTCCCGAACCTTACAGTGAATCAGTTATAGGTATTTAGTACAGTTGAGCAAACGATAATTTCAGTTGCTATACGTTCAATTGAAAGCATATATACGACATTGCGCCTAAATGCATTGCAAATCGATTTTATACCGACATCGACAGTTTAATTTGTCATTCTTTGAAAAAACATCAAAATCAAATTTGAGCAAAGATTTTACATTTTGATTTAATGTTAAAAATTATAAGAAAAATGCATTTATTTAAAAAAAGATTTTCCATTTAATTAAAATCATTTTTTTTTGTCAAAAATATATCATGTATAAGGATGATAACTTTATATGCAAGCCGCATAATTGCATATAATTTCTTAAAATATTAAGTATAAAATAAGAAGCCTTTATGTTGTTAAGTCTTGTTGCACCTTGTAAATCATATTTTTCAATCGCATAATTTCGCATAATTGACACTCATTTGCAGCATAATATGCCTATGTTGCATAATAATCGCATAATTAGATCAAAATGCTGTTAAATTTTTTATTTTGACTATTGTATATATAAACAATATATATATATAAAATTGCTAAAAAGATTGTTTTCCTCAAGAGCAAAATTGTGATAAATTTTTTCTATGAAATTTTTTGAGATATAACTTTTGAAGGTTTAACTTTTTATACGTTTGTTTTTTTAAAAAATTCCTGTACATTTCTCGTATATAAATTTTTAAGACATTTCATATTATTAACAAAAATGATGTAGCAGCATATTTTCTAAATATATTTAAATATATTAACCTTTAATTTTAATTGGATTAAATTAAAAAAAAAAATTATTTTAATTTATCATATTTGATATAATCGAAAATATTGCCGACTCGGTAAATTTATTCCTCATTCAAATTGAATCGCGCCATTTAATGGAGCGTCGAGTAAACTCATTTCTTTAATTTACCGCAAAATCTTATTTTGCATATACAAACATCAGTAGTTCTTGATAAAAAAAAAAAAATACACTACCGTATTTATTAAAAGGATCAGATAAAAAACTTAAAAATTTGTCTTTGACTACGTTTGACATGAGAATGCAGTAATAGAAACTTTATTTACTAAATCTCATTATATATAGAAAGTGGATATATATATAAATGATAATATCTCAACGATCTTGGAAAGGAGAATCACATTCTGTGCTCGGTTATATGGTGATCTTTCGACTATCTGACAGTGAACGAGCATAATTGAATAGTCTTTGTAAAGAATCTTTTGCAAAAATTTTCTACATTGCGTGTGAGTGTTAACCCACGCACATATACCACCTACGCAATTCTTAATATGAGAGACGCAGCATTCAGCTGCGTAAAGAATTGCACGAGTTCACTCAAGATATAGGGTGATTCTTAAAGAAAACAATACGAATTTTATTGCATATTCAGGGTGTCTACTATTTTTCAGTCTTTGAATTCACTGTTATTTCCCAGTTTAAGATATGAAAGTTTTTTCTCACTACAAGTATATTATAAAATAAATAATACCTTTAATATTAATGTATAACTGCTAATTTAATACTATAATCATAATAAATAAGTTTAAAATAAAATTTTAAAGAAACTAAAATTTTTTTTTTGTTTATAAAATAACACCGTTTTATTGTCAGAAAATAATTGTACTTGTGAAATACACACGATTTTACATATATAATTTATTTGATTTAAATACCATATACAGTATCGTATCAACCATAACTACTTTCTTGTATTTCACATTAACTTTGAGCATATATACGATATACCGATCAATGGTACAGTTCACGGAGAAAAATAGTTAATACCGTAGCTAACCCGAATTGCTATTAAAAGGATAGAAATTATTGTTAGCTATAAAACAACTAAAAATTCACTATCCATATAATAGCAAACTCATTTTTCTCCGTGTTGTTTTCTTACATATTAGCACACGATTTGATAAAAATTTTATTAAATTTACCATTTTAGGTATTTTATTTCCCCCCTCACAGGTGTCTGGAAAGTAAAAAAAGTTTGCCTACGATGCCAAGAAAAATCATTGTTACCTGGTGGTTCCTTGGCACCCCCTGAAACGAGAAAATTTAACCCAAAAATCATAGCTGTTCATTTAGAGAAGTTTCACCCCTTTCTAAGGGTGATTTTGAAATTTTTCCAAAAAAAATTGTTTTTTAAGGGTCAGAAATAAGTTTGAAATTATGTTAATGATTTTTATTTATGGCAATGTATTTGTAGAACCTCATTTTCTAGATACAAGCCATTAAAAAATTTTTTATTAAAAAAACTAGAATTCGTAACTTTTATTTTATGTAGGTGACGATTTTTAATAATTTAATTAACAGTGAATTTTAATTTTTTGGAAAGTTAAAAATGTGTATTTTCAATACTAAAAATATTGAGATGTCCTTTTTTGTTATTTTCGAGATATTAATTAATGAATTATTTAATGTTAATAAAAAATGCAATATTTTATAAACAAATAATGTTATCGTAATTTAGCGTTACCAATTGAAAGCTGACGTAATTCCGCATCCAACGAGACTAATATGAACTATTTTGAATCAGAGGGATTTTTATAAACAATTGCAATGTTATGCGATTATTTATAAACAATCCACTAACCCAAAATTCTTCATATAGGGCTCGTTGGATTCGGAATTAAGGTAGCTTTCAATTGGTAACGTCAGAATTACGATAACTTTATTTGTATATAAAATATTTTATCTTTTGTTAACGTTAAATAATTAAATAATTAATATCTCGAAAATAACAAACAAGGACATCTCAATATTTTTTGTAGTAAAAATACACAATTTTAACTTCTCAAAATAATCAAAATTCACTGTTTAAATTTTTCAAAAAATCCAAATCCTTCCCTCTCCTACAGGCAGTTTTTGAGAAAACCTAACAACACTTCGTGGTGGAATTTCGCCCTATACATATATAAATTCATTAACACGATTTATTTATTTACTAATTAAATCATCCAAAATCGTCACCTACATAAAAGAAAAGTTACGAATTCGAGTTCTTTTTTATTAAAAAAATTTTTAATCACTTATACCTATAGAAAATGAGATCCTTCAAACACACCCACATAAATGAAAATCATTAACATAATTTAAAACTTATCTCTGACTCTTAGAAAACAAGTTTTTTGAAAAAATTTCGAAACTTCTCTAAATGAACAGCTAAGATTTTCGGGTTAAGTTTTCTCGTTTCAGGGGGTGCTAAGGAACCACCAGGTAACAATGATTTTTCTTGGCATCGTAGGCAAACTTTTTGTGGACTATTTCTCGGTTTTTTTTTCGTTTCCCGGCTATTACACGGACGAAGAATTTTGATCGTGACAACGTCTTTTTTAATTTTTTTAATCGAATAACACAAAAATCTTGAAAATATGACTTCGAATTCTGGCCGTCGATATGAACGCCAATTTTTCTGACTAACTCCCTAGACCTTGGAGTAAGACGTTGTCATGTCAAAAAATACAACTAAATTTATGTAATAAAATTTTTTCGAATAAATTAAAATATTTACCTTAATAACGAATTTTCAGCTTCAAGGAGATTTTTTCAAACTAAATAGCCCTCGGAGATCCCTACTTTCAAGTTAAATTTCCATTCAGAAAATATGAAAAATAACCGTAAAATAGACCGAGTTCTAAAAAGTCTGAATATGAAGAATTCGGCGTCCTTCAAGATACCCTTTTTTACTTTTGCCCTTATCTTTGAAGTACGTGACACTACAAGCATCGAGGATAGAATCTGTAAAAAGAAAAATTAAAATACTGTCAGCGCTGCACTAACATGTAGTTAAATCTTTAACCTTTAATCGAATAACACAAAAATCTTAAAAACATAACGTTTAAAAATTGCAAAAACGGAGTTTAGAAATTACTTCTCATCTTTTGAGGAGTCAATATTTTGGATTTATCTTTGGAAGAGTGATAGAGGAAGGGTCACTGAGAAGAGCTCTTCTATGTTATTAAATGTTGAAAGTTGATGACCTGGTGAGTTATTTTATTAATTTTTCTTCATGAGTATGATTCAAGAATGAACGCTAGGTGAGAATTTCGACGCTACGCGGGAGCTCACAGTACTCGCCTACCATTCAACTCACGAAGCATTCAGACTCACGTACCATTCATAATTTGTCTCAAATGAACACTAGGCGAGAATTTCGACGCTACGCGGGAACTCGCAGTATTCGCCTACTGTTCAACTCGCGAAGCATTAAAACTCGCATACCGTTCAGAAATTGTCTCGAAAATTTCAGATATTGTACTATCTATATCAAAAACATAAGTTAAAAATTAACATAACATCAATACTCAAGGTTAAACGACAGAATCATAGATTAAAACGAACATAACTTCAAAAATCAAGGACATATGTTAAAAACCAAAGTTTTTGATAGAGTAGAGACGGACATAACCTCAAAATTATTATCAGATGTCAAGATATGACCCCCTCCCTTTAAACTTTTAAAGGTCATAGGTCAAAGGAAAACATAACCTTAAATTTACGTTAAAGGTCATAGGCGTGTAGGCGAATATAACCTCAAAATTTGGTCAGAGTTGTAGAAAAAATCTGACATTACCCCAAAATTAGGGTCATAGGTTAGAAGGACATCATCCGTGGTGCATCTTAGAAACAAATTCTTTAAAATGAAATAATAAATTTTATTTAAAGAAATTGGGTAAAATTAATCTTTAAAAACATATAAAAACTTATTCGGTCCCTAATTAATTGAGACCATAAAGTGTATCAAATTGTTGATAAAATGCAACGTTTTTTTTTACATAAAAAATGTAAATATCTAAAAATTGTATATTGTCAATAAACGTCATTAAGAAAATCTCCTTAATGACGGATTAAGGGATAGACATGGGATGCTACGAGGGTCGTATGAGCATTCAGTCCCGAACTGCCGGACGCTTGTGGGTCGCATGGGTGGGGAAAGGTCACTTCCCCTCACGGGACGCAATCGATGACTGCCCACATACACCCCCGTAGCCTTTGTTTAACAAACGATAATTGTCCACGAGCCTATGGGGCTATTGGGATGATATTGGTATTGGGTACTACCACACCTTAGTCCATTGTAAATCAATCTGTGGTCACGATAAACCAGTTGGTCAAACTCTAATAAGCAAAGCCAAACTGTATACGTCACATTAATGATCAAGCGCATATTAGATTTTTCTTTTTTTACTTTTTAGAATAAATTCAATTACATTTCTTAAAGAATTTCAATGTCTACAATTTTTTTAATATATATAATATACAATGCATTCATTCTTCCTCTAATGTCCAAGTCAAAAAATAAAATTTATTGGTTGAGCTTGAAACTTTGGTAAATTACACAGGTCTACATTGTTTTTTTTTTTTTACATCAGAGAGTGGTTTCCAATGTATTTTTGTGTGCTGAACACAAATTAAAAGAAAAATAAAGTTTTTGTATTGGCTTGAAATTTTGGTTAATTACTGCAATATTTAAGGGTAACAAATTCCTAAAATATGACTTTTAATTTTTCAGAAACTTTGCAAAATCACGTCAAGATTTTGAGTAAAGTGGGGGTAAAGTCTCCAAAAACCGTGTTTTTGAGGGTTTTTAATGTTATTTTTCTCCTTAATCTGACCTGCTAGAGACTTCTATATAGGCTTTAATTATCGTACACTTTAAGACTCATATGCGCAAGATAAAAAAATATTAGGTTAAAAACACCCAAAAAGTTTATTGGTGTCTTTAACCCTATTTTTTAAAAAATTTCAAATTTTTTTTTTATTTTACCCATATGGGCCTTAAAGTGTAGGATTTAAGCTTTAATTTAAGCCGATATAGAAGTCTCTAGTACGTCAAGTTAAGGAGAAAAAAACTGAAAACACTCAAACACACGATTTTTGCGGACATTATCCCTACATTCCTCAAAATCTTGAGATGATTTTGCAAAGTTTCTGAAAAATTATAGAAGTCATATTTTAGGAATTTGTTACCCTTAAATATTGCAGTAATTAACCAAAATTTCAAGCCAATACAAAAACTTTATTTGTTTTTTAATTTGGACGTTTAACCCCTTCGCAGTCGAGGCCAAAATCTCATAAGTGGGCCCAAAATGTCAGTAAATTTTTGAATGACCAAAATTTGTGAAAATGTGTATACTATGGTATTTAAGGTCGCTGATTACGATTCCAAAGTCAAATTTTAAAAAATTCAAAATGGCGGAGCCAATATGGCGGACGATTTTTTAAAAAATGGCAAAAATGATTTAAAAATACTTAAAAATTGTTACTCGGGGGTTTTTGGGGTCGCTGATTACGAATCTAAAGCCAGATTTCAAAAATTCAAAATGGCAGAACCAATATAACGGACAATTTTTTTAAAAAATGGCAAAAATTATTTAAAAATTCTTGAAAATTGTTACTTGGGGGTTTTTGGGATCGCTTATTACGAATCTAAACTCAGATTTCAAAATTTCAAAATGGCCGAGCCAATATGGCGGACGATTTTTTAAAAAATGACAAAAATGATTTTAAAATACTTAAAAATTATTATTCAGGGGTTTTGAGGGTCACTGATTACGAATCTATAGTCAGATTTCAAAAATTCAAAATGGCGTTACCAATGTAGCAGATAATTTTTAAAAAATTTAAAAATTAATTAAAATTACTTAAAATTTGTTACTCAGGGGTTTTGAACGTTGCTGTTTACGATATTCAAGTCAGATTTTGAAAATTCAAAATAGCCTAGTATATGGGTCTGATTATTATTGTATCCATTTTGAATTTTTGTAATTCTGACATCAAATTCGGAATCAGCGACCCCAAAAACCCCCGAATAACGAGTTTCAAGCGAATATGGTCAATTTTCAAAATGTTTGGTCGCCATATTGGATCCGCCATTTTGAATTTTTTAAATCTGACATCAAATTCGGAAGCAGCGACCCCAAAAACCCCGGAGTTACAAATTTTAGTCCAATTCCGTCTTATTATTGGGCTCAAAATTTATGTGCGTGTATACACGTCATCGACACCCAAATTTTTAAGAATATAAGCATCAATTCATCAATTCATCAACTAATTTTTAAAAATTATGATACTTTGCAGGAATGATCTCAATAAGGTATCAAAATTACAAAAATAAACAGAGTTTTAATAAATTATTTAATATTCACTTTAAAATATAAAAAAAAAGTATGAGGTGCTGAAAATTGTCAGTTTTTCCTTTCGTGATCTTAATACCTTCGAGAGCATTCCTGATGCAAAGTATCATAATTTTTAGAAATTACTCGGCAACGAATATGTGTCGAAATATAAATGGATTGACTCATAAATAAATTATTTTTAACTAATTACAAAAAAATGAGGTCTTCTCTAAAATATATTGTTTTTCATTTACATTTCATAACGTTAACATTACAATTGTTGGCAATTTGATATTATAATTTTAAAAGAACAATATAAAATAAACGCACTGATACATATATATATATATTCTGTTCGTATAATATGCATTCTATTTCCGCGGGCTCCACAAGTGGTAATGAGATCGTAAATACCCAGTAATCATCAGACAGAACGTCTAGTATCATGTGACGACAACGACCAGTCAGTCGTCATCTTAGCTCAAAGTTGCGGCAGGTTTATGTCTGCTCCTTTCGTCATGCCTCTGCATGAGTTGGGAATTACATACCCATAAAATTCTTAGAATAAGACGGAACCAATTGCAATGCCCACGTCTGACGTTTCTCCAAGATGTACGTGCGACAATGTAGAGAAACAAAAAAAATCAATAATTTTACTCTCAATAAGTCACGGCTTACGATAGTACGAGGAGACTTGAGCCTCCTTGAGCATAGGCTAAAACTGCTCGAAGCTATATAGTATATATATACAATATATATATATATATGTATATAAGTATGCAATCTCTGGAGGTAGTCGAAAGATGCAGAAAACTTGGCAGTAACATTCAAGAGTCAAAGGGCTGACAGCAAACTTGCATAAGTAATATCTTTTATATTCTGATCAGTATATGAAACAAGTTTACTGTACATTAATTCACAGACAAAAGTAATAAAAATCATCAGAAACATGCACTTTGACAGGTGCATAGTTCAGAAGCGTCGAATTATCACTTTTATATGACTATATGTTACATAATTTTGCTCTGTTACAGCTTGTATATATATCTACAAGCATCAGGAAGTAAAATTTGTGATCAAGAATTTCACATGGGAGAATGTTTGATTTTACAAAATAGAGAGAAAATAATAATTCCCTATATGTAAATCATCGTTCAAATTAACTAAATAATTTTTTTAATCTATAAAAATTTTTTAAATTACTACAGCAGGGAAAAAACAACATTAAACATTTAATAAATTATATAATAAATAAAAGAATTATCGATAATTAAATTAGGGCCCGGAATCAATTAGAATTACTCGTGGGTTTTTTGGGTCTCTGATTATGAATCTGGTATCAGTTTTTTTAAAATTCAAAATGCCGTATACAAAAAATAGCGAAAATTTTCCTAATAATTTGATCAGATTTCACAATTCTCGCCATATTCGATCCGCCATTTTGAATTTTTAAAAACTGATGCCAGATTCGTAATCGGAAATCCAAAAATCCCCCAGGTATAAAGTTTGAAACAAATCCAATTACTTTTTTTAAAAAAATTCCTCCATATTGGATTCGCCATATTGAGTTTTTAAAAATTTAACTACAGATTCGTAATCAGGGAACTCAAAAACTCTTAGAGGACAATTACAATTATCGATGCATTAATATTCTTAGATTCTGTATGGGAAGAGAGAGAGATGTAATATACTATTTATAACCTCATACACTCAAAAGCAGATAAATTGAAAAAAAAATTTATAACCTTAAAAACGTACATGGAAGTCACCATTTTTGGCAAAAAAATTTATATTATTCATCATTATGCATGTTTAAAAGTTGTGCTTCTTTAACAGAATCTTTTTTAAAGTACCTAAATTTTGGACCAATTTTTCGAAACCTATCGTAATTTTTTTTTTTACTGTTTCGCCCTATTTTTCCTGTATTCTGTATACAGATCTATACTGTCGAAAAAAAGTTATTCATTTATGTCGTTTCTGTTCAAAGTTCTACGATTTTGTTACCAAATTTGACAAAATCACCCACTTTGTGGCAAACGGATGAACCTGTTGGTGCTTGAAATTTGAAAATAAATATTTAAACAATGTCCCCAATAATTAATTATAATATTTATTTCGTTAGAAATTGTTGTCCTGACAACAATTAACATTGTTTAAATATTTATTTGCAATTTTTATTTGTTTTATTACTTTTGAGTTTACTAAAAAATATTTATTTTACTCACTAAATCTGAATTAGTTATTTTTGACCCTAATTCATCAGAGCAGATTCGTTCATTAAATGAATTAGTAAACGTTTTGACTAATTCTTAGTCAAAAATTACTAATTGATAGTAGAAAACTACTAATTCATTTACTAAGACTACTATTTCAATTAGTTAAATTTAATAAATGAGTTAGTAGTTTTCTACTATCAACTCAGTAGATTTACTCAAAAGTGAATAATTTAAATTTAGAACGTATAAATACATAAGTTATTGATTTGAAAACACTTCATTTGATTAAAACAAAAATTATTATGTTCAAATAAATATTTATTTGATAATAAGTAACCGATTATTAGAACCAAAATAAATTTTTTTTAAGTGCGCAAAATAATTTTAAACTATATATGTTACTTACAATATATATTTTAAAATTTTAATTTAATTTTAAAAAATAATACTTTTAAAAAATGAGAAAATTTAACATTTTTTAAAAACATTTCTAACAATTAAAAAACTTGTTCAAAAATGTTTTCTAAATAGTTTCGTAAATATTGGTTAAGAAGAGGGCAGCACTTCTCGACGCTCTCTGCAGAATTCTGCAAGTCGATAACCTTGTGCATAGTTGCAATAAAAATTAATAGATGTCTTTATTTTAAATTTAAAATTTTCGCAAATATGTAATTTTTATTTAAATATTTATAATTGTCAATATTAATAATAATTGTTGAATTAATCAATTATGAAATTAGTTTCTGCCGTCATAAATCTACTTGGGAGTCAAAATTTGTGAACTGTGCCGGCATTTTCTTAGAGATCGAATTTTTTTTTTATTAAATTCACATTTTTCTATTCAAAACAATAAATAAAAAATACAACTTAAACAGTTTTGCGAAATTTTTATATTTATACAAGTTATTGTTACAAACATTTTTTTTGCATGAACTTACAAAAAAGTGTTTTTCTATTAATCTAATTAATAAAACTTTCTGATTTTTGGTATACTTATTTAAAATTAAAGCTGCTTTCGATTGATATTAATTATTTGAAAAAGTTAATTAATTTGTTAAAAATATAAACAATTTAATTAAATAAATAAACATAATATTAACTTCTCAATTAATTTTTCAGTTCTTTTTTGTTGCACATTACTTATAATTTAATCTAGAATCATTTGCAAAAAGAAAAACTTGATAACTTGTATTCAGTTAATAGTAATTGAAGATTTTATCCGAGCGTGAAGCAAAATTAACCATTCTTTTTGACACAATGTATGAAAAAGTGTTCTGACAAGTTGCGATCTTTGTTTATTTAATAAACATTTAAGAAAAACAACTTTTTGTAAGTTCATGCAAAAAAATGTTTGTAACAATAACTTGTATAAATTTAAAAATTTCGCTAAACTGTTAAAGTTCAAGTTCTTGATAGATAATAATTTATCGTAGATTAAATATAAAAGAGAAGTGTATTTTTAAATTTTGACAATGAAAAAAAAATTTATTTGATTCAAATACTCGATTACTTGACTATTATCAAATAAATATTTACTTGAACCAAATGATTTTTATTTGAAATAAATAAATTGTATTTAAACCAATAATTTCTGTACACGGAGAAAAAAGAATTGTTGTGGTTACTAAAAATTAAGTCCACGCAACAATTACGTATTGTCAATATAGAACCAGCAGTTCTATTTGTTTATGGGACAAAAAAAATTGTTAAAATGGGATTGTTATTAAAACTATTCGGATTGTTCGGTGAACAAACAGAATTGTTTGATGAACAAAGAAAATTGTTATGGAACAGTTGAAATAACAAAACTAAATTGTTAAATCGGTAATACAATTTGTTGTACTAACAAAGCTTTGATCCGTCTAATACAATTTCTTCAGTTTCTTCGCCTTCTAAAATAATCGATAGCAGATTTCCGTAGGTCATATCACCAGTTTCATTTGCATTAAAATCTGTGGAACATGCAGCTTCTGAATCAAATTCTTTGACCTTAAACCAAAAAATTATTTTGAGTTGAAATTTGTTGTTAAATAATATTCAAAATACATTTTGTATTTTTTAAGGTGAGGTTATGTTCAATAGTAACCGAGCATAAGTTACCGATAAACGATGAAATTGTCTCTTCATCCATTCACTACACTTGCAATAGATTTCTCACTTTAACCGGATTCATTATTTAACAGCACTTTGTCATTTAAAAAAAAATAATAATAAAAGCAAAAGTGGCACATGTGCCAGAAGCAAACGACGTGACAATCTGCACGCCAGTTTGCGAGAATTCAAGATGACCACGTGACATGGAACAATAAACCTGTCAGCTGAACAAATCCGGATTGTTCCATCAGCAAATCGACAGAGAGTTTGCTTCTGCAACTGTACGGAATTGCAAACTTAACAAAACTGACAAAAAAAAATTCGTATTGTTGTTAAAACAACATACATTTGTATTGACAACAATCCGAATGGTAATATTAACATCTCGAATTGTAATATCAACAAATCTACTGACAACAATACAAAAATTGTTTGCACCACAATCCCATTTTTCTCAGTGTATTTGAAACCAACACCCTTTAATTGACTCAAATAATAATAATTATTTGATTTAAATAAATATTTATTTGATAATAGTCAAGTAATCGAGTATTTGAATCAAATAAATTTTTTTTTCAGTGGAGTGTCAAATAACCTAATTTCACGATTTTTATCAATTAATTGTAAAAAAAGTAGAGTTATTAAAATAAGTTTTAACTTACTAAATATGAAGTAATTGACATGAAGATTCAAATTTTTTACACAAAAATTTTATGTCAAAATAATACTGACCAAATTTTTTGGAGGTATTATTAAATGAATTTATTAGAAATCTACTAGAGGCCACAAACAATGTAATAAACTAAATAGTCACAACTTCGTTATTTCTATACTTTTGTTATAATTTATATTAAATTTTTAATAAAAAAATCATTGTTCATTGAAATTGACAATTATTAATTATTCATTATTTCTAATAATATACTTAAAATAATATTAAAAAATGTAAAATAAATTTGTAAAAAAAAATTATAAAATTAACAGATCGTAAAAAATCAAAATAATTGTTTATCTAAAATATTCACAAAGTGGAAACATCCAAGATACACGGGTATTCCCCAGATTCCCCCTCTTATCAAACGCGAGGCTTTATCCTGCAAACGTCACTCTTTCGCCAACTTCAATATTATTTAATCTTCTTTCTGTCGTGTTTGGACTGAAATTTTACTCTTTCTCTTAATAATAATTTTAAAAAATTGTCAAACGAAAAAAGTGTTTGTTATTTATATAAAATAATGCTCATATCATATAAGTGTTAAAAAAAAATTACATAAAATTAATAAAAATTGTTATCTAAAATTTATTTTAAAAATGATTTCTAATGTGATAGGATTGTGTCGAATTTGTAATCAAAACCACTATCTTTCCATACATGGAACAGAACTCAAAGAAGAAAACTTAAAACTCACAGTAAGCAACTAAAACTTTTTCATGATAAACTAATTATTAGAAAGGCTGTAGAAAATTAGCTCATAAAAAAATACACAAAATAAATATATAACGGCTCTTTTAAAAAAAAAAAAAAAAAAGGTTAATTGCATTTCTTCATACAGTGTTTTTTGAAAACTATACACACAATTGATCTTGGCAAAGTAATAAAAACAATTTAGACGCTCATTATAGATGAACACAAGAAATTGTACGACAAAATTTTCCCATACCCCTTGGCATTTCATATTAGTTAAGTTTTATTGTATCGCAAAATAAAAAGGAAAGATTTATCTTCAATTAACTATTGCTTTAGGCCATCTAAAATCTACAGAGCTAATTTTCTACAGCTTGCGTAGGTAATACATTCAAGTCGCAAGTATCAAGTAGATACATGCAACAGGTGCACGAACGCAGAATAATATAGTATAATGAAGTGCATAATTAGAATTATGGGCTTGTAATAAAATATTGCTTTAAAAGATTAATTTTGTCTATGTATCACATTCTTCTTATAGTATATAATAAATTTTCCAATGAAAAAAAAAAGAAAAATTCAAATCGTTATATAATTACTTTGGCACTGTATAAAATTATTATTGAAGAATCTGATTGTGATTCATTACAGTGTAAAAAGAAAGAATTTAAAATCTACGAGGACGCATGATTATGTTCTAAAAATCATTAGTTAGAATTTTCATTTTATATGGAATTTCATTTGTCATAATTATTTTTGAGCTGAATTTTTATTTGTTCGAATTAGTATTTTGCAAAATTTTCATCAAAACGATTTTCTATATTACAGAATTTTTATGTAACCGAAAATTCACTACACAGAATTTTTATTTGCTCGAATTCTGTATTTAACATAATAGGGCATTTTTATGAATTTTTATTGTGAAGAATTTCATTGCACAGAATTTTCTTTCAGATGAATTTTCATTTGTTCGAATTATTATTTGATATAATTTCCATGTAACCGATTTTTCATACTACAGAATTTTTACTTAACTGAAAAATCATTTAACAGAATTTCTAATTGAGGGAATTTTCATTTGTCCGAAATTGCAAATAGCCGAACAAACAATCGACAGAAAGATTCGGCACAATTTTAAAAATCGCAACCAATCAAAAATTATCCATAAAATTGTGATTGGTTGATTTTAAAAATCGCGTCGAAATCTTTCTGTTGATTGTTTGTTCGGCCATTTGCAATTTTGGAAAAATGAAAATTCTATCAATGAGAAATTATGTTAAATGATTTTTCGGTTAAATAGAAATTCTGTAGTATGAAAAATCAGTTATAATGAAAATTATATCAAATAATAATTCCAACAAATTGAAATCCATTTGAAAGAAAATTCTATGCAATGAAATTCTACCCAATAAAAATTCTTTAAAATGCCTATTATGTTAAATGAAAATTCGAGCAAATAAAAATTCTGTAAAGTGAATTTTCGGTTATATAAAAATTCTGTAATATAGAAAATCGTTTTGATGAAAATTCCTGCAAAATATTAATTCGAACAAATAAAAAATTGACTCAAAAATAATTATAACAAATGAAATTCCATAAAATGAAATTTCTAAATAATGATTTTTAGAACATAATCATGCGTCCCAAATCAACTTTATAATATACGACAATTTTCTGCCGGATTACCAAAGAAATCAACACATTGCAATTATTCCTTTAAAAAAAAGGCAATATTTACCGGATTACTAGAGTAACAAATAAATATTATAAAACAGAAAAAAGGGGGCAGTTATTTTTCCAAAGGATTACCTAAAATTAACAAATTTAATTTTCAATGTTAAATGTTTTTTTTATACTTCTACGATGATCAAATAAAGTTTCTGAAAATATTAGAACAAAAAAATTTGTTTATTAAAAAATTATATACAAAAACAAATTAAATTTTTAGCTGTCTTTAATTTAAAAAAAATTTTTTTTTTTTTTGAGCTACAGTTAACAAAACAAAAGTTTTCTCTAGTATTAGAATGTGTTATTAAAAAATAATACGATTCTGAAGTTCACAACGTTTGTAATCGACGATTAGAAAACAAATTATTTTTTAAAACAGTAAAAATCATAAAATTTTTTTCTAAAAAAGTTTTTTTATGATTTTTTCATCAATAAACATTGTAAGAAATACATATATTTGAGGCGAAAAATCATAGAATTTTCCAATCATTAAATATTTTTTTAAAAATTGTTAATAAACATTGTAAACTTCAATATTAATAATTATTAATTAATTAACATATAATAATTAATTAATTAATTATTAATTTTTATTAATTACTAGCAAAATTAAACGCGCGCCAAATTGAGTATTTAATTGTTTATTATAAAGAAATTAAAGATTAATATTATCAATAATAATTTAATTTATTAGAATATTATTACATATTAAATGATAATAATGAAAATTATATGTTGACAGGCCTCGGATTATACGACTTTTTCCGACTTTTTTCAAAAATACGACTTTTATCGACTTATTTTAATAAAATGCGACATTTTTTTTACATTTGAAAAAAAATGTAAATAAAATACATTTTTTTAGTATAAAATGTAGATCTTCTTTAGATTTTCTTCAATTCAATTATTTAACAAATTTTGAACTAAAATGATTTTTCACTAAATTAATTATTTTTAATAATTTTAATGAAATGCATCACAAATTCAATTATATCAATATTATTTTTCAATTAAAATTTTTATGAAATTTAACAATTGTTTATAATTTAAAAAAAAATATCACAATAAAATTGAATTATTTTTTAAAAATTTCAATTCAAAATAAACTAAAATTCAATTATTACCCAAAATTTTAATTCAAAATCAATTAAAAATCCAGTAATTATCCAAAATTTTCCATTTAAAATTTAATTATTTACCAAGTTCTCAATTTAAAATGAAATAAAATTCAATTATTTTCTAAAATTTCTATTCAAAATTAATTATTCAAATTTTCATTCAAAAATGAACTTAAATATTAAATTATTATCCAAAATTTCAATTAAAATTCAATTATTTCCCAAAATTTTCAATTCAAAATGAATTGAAATTCAATTATTTTCCAAATTTAAAATCAAATAAAATTTCATTATTCTCAAAAATTTGAATTTAAAATTAATTGAATTTTTAATAATTTGAATTTAAAAGCATCTAAAATTTAATTATTTCTCCAATTTTCCATCAAAAAATTTTTTTTTGAAATTTAATAATTTCAATTATAACTCTAAGGAAATTCAATTATTTTTAACTATTTTAATAATATTCTTTGAAAATTCAACTATCTGAAACCATTTTTCAATTAAAAATGATTTTCAAATTATTGTATTTTGTCCGCATTTTCTAATAAATTTTTAGTGAAATCATCTAAAATTTTAATTACAAAACACTTAAAGTTTCAATTAATTTCAAAAATCTCAATTTTAAATCTTTGAAAATTCAATTAAATTTAAAAAATGTTTTCCAAAAATTGTTTGATAAATTATTTTTAGTTCTGTAAAATTTAATAATTGTTTGAAAATTAAGAATATATTTTGAAATTTAATTATTTCTAAAAATTTCAACTTTAACCATTCGAAAGGATTCTTATTAAAAAAAAATTTATATTTAAAAATCTGTAAAATATTTTTGTTAAAATAAAAAACAAATCCACTTTGTTTGGAATATAAATCGACTAAAACGACTTTTTGTGTCTTTAAGTTGATTCGAGGCCTATGTTTTTATAATTAATATTTAATAGGTATTCGTTGGCCTCTGGTACCTTAAAAATTAATTTTTAAAAATTAATTTTTTTCAAATTACTATCTTGTACGAAATTTTCTGGCGCATCTTTTTTCTCATCATAAATTTTTTGTATTTGTATACAATTTTTGAATCAATATACAACTTTAAAAAAAATTTCGTTGGTAAACGTTGTGTACTTCAACTTCGTGAATTGAATTTTCGAATTTGGAATTTTAAAGAAACTTATTCCGAAATTTGGAATCACAATTATACAACTTTGGCAAAAATGAGAAAAAGAATTGTCAAAATTTGACTCGTCATAAGATTACTATACAAAAAACACGTGAAATCAGAAAAGGCCAACTTCAAGTTAGGACAGAAGGACAGACCAAGCATTTTGTTATTATATAATTAATTAATTTATGTATCTATTATTATTAATTATTAATTAATTATTATTATTAATTATTAATTAATTATTATTATTAATTATTAATTAATTAACATATAATAATATTAATTAATTAATTAATTAATTAATTAATTAACATATAATAATTTCTGTATTCATTCATTCATTCCGTCTGTCCACACTTGAAGTTAGTCGTTTTTTTGTACCTTTTGTTTTTCTAAAATTTTGACAATTCTTGATTTCGTAATATTTTATGGTTAACGCGACGGATATTTTTATTCATCGTCATTAATTAAGTCATATACTAAATGACAGTTTAAAGTAAAAGAAAAAATTGTTCATTGTGTGCAGCACCAGTATATTTCCTACTTCGTATTTATAGAAAAAAAAGTTTCAATTATAATATAATTTTTATTATTATTTATAAATTTATTATATTATATATACATTTTTTATATAATAATTATTACAGATAATTAGAACATTTTGACTTATAATTATTATTTTTTTCATTATTCATTTTTATTTATTATATATTATTATTTATGAATTTATTATTATTAATTAGTTTTTATTATTAATTAATAAATTGTTATATTTTTTTATCTGTAAACAATTTGCATAAAAAAAAATAATTATTTTTGATATAAAAATAAATTGTTTGTTTTTTTAAAGAATTTTCAATTTGATTTTAATTTTTAATTTAAGTTTAAAGTTTGAAACATTACAAAGTTTTTTTTATGTAGAGAAATAGTATATTATGTGGCAAGCACGTAAAGTAGTACTTTTTAGGTGAGGATGTAATTTTCAGTACGAGCTGTCGTTAGTGCGACGTAGGTGAGACGAAGGCGAGCTGTAGGTGAGATGAAGACGAGCCGAAGGCGAGTCGAGTCGAGCCGAAAGCGAGCCGAGTCGAACCGAAGTCGCACAGACAGCGAGTATTGAAATCATCCGAACCTAAAAATTACTACGTGCGAGCCACATACGCTATTTTTTTCGCCATTGTTATGAAAAAGTGAAACAATTTTAAAGAAAAAAAATAATAAAAATTGATAAATAAAATAAAAGCAAAAAAAAAAATTATGCAAAAATTAACAACTGCCTAAAAAAGACTTTATAGGGCAGTTTACTGCCTAAAAAAGACTTTATACGGCAGTTTGCTGCCTAAAAAAGTCTTTTTTAGGCAGTTGGCCCAAACTGCCTTAAAAAGTGCTACTTTATCTGCCCAAAACAGGCACAAAAAAGACACTTTTTCATGTCAATGGCGAAAAAAAACTATTTTATTGTTTTTAAATTTGTCAACTGGATCTCGAGAATTTTTTTTTTTTTGTATTCAAGATAGATAAAAATTTTAACTGTTTATAACTTTAAAAAAAATATATTTGTTCAAATATTTGAGAAACTTATTTTGATCATAGTAAGAGTAACAACAAAGTAGCAACAAAATTTATTATACTTTCAGCTTGATAAAAAAAATTATAATGCAATAAATTAACAATAATTTTTTATTCATCATCAACTTAAAAAAAATTCCTAAGAGGCGAATTTCAAGTGAATCGGATTAATTATTTTAAATTCTCATTTAGTAATATTAAAAATTTCTCCAACTAAAATTATTTTAAAAATACCCTCCTATAAAAAATAGGAAAAAGAAATTCTTCTACAATATAATTTTTTTTTGAAGATGAAGTTAATGAATAATATTAATATATATTGTTTCAGGTATATAACACAACATGCAATTCATGTGTGGAAAAAATTGATTTTTTTTCAGTTAAAAAATTAATTTCTACGAAGAATAATTTATTAATGCTCAATGGAAAAAGAAAAATGATTTTAGTTGACGCGTCTACAAATACGGAAAATAATTTATATAATAAAATTCAAAAAAATACATTTACAAATGTGTAAGTTTTTAATAATAATTATGATTATTATTTAATTGAAAAAATATGTAGGTTATATTAATATTATGTAAAATATAAACAATATTTATTATATGGGGCATTTTATTTTAAAATTATACCCCTAGTAAACAATTGACAATATAAGACATTTTTTAAATAATTATTTCTCCCATTTAATTAAATCAAATTACTTTTGCAATGAGTGGTTTCGAAAGAGAAATTTCTAAACTTTATTATTGTAAAAAAATTTTTTTAAAAAAACGTTTAAGGAAGTTCTCTCGCAAACAGAAATGACGAAGAGTTAATTATCAAACTTGATAAACTAATAGATAATGGTTTAAAGAAGATGTAGTTAAATTTTTAGAGGTCTAGGTGGATTTTGACAAAAGATATAAATAATTTTCTCTTTTTACATTTAACACGGGTTCTTATGGGAAATTGAATTTTTTGGTCTGAAATCTCAAATTGTGAAAAATCTGACGAAAAGATATTACTGGAACTTTATATACATAAAGTTTAATAGCCAATGTTCACTTACTTTTAATAAAATTGATCAGATCTGGCTTAGGAGACTCACAATTAATTATTTTGTCTAAAAAAACACCGTATTTTGACAATCAGAAATTACTTAGCACAACGCTTGGCAACGTTGCGTCTTGTAGGATAGGAATAGAAAAAGCGCGAAATTTGAAAGTAATATAAGTAGTATATATACATGTAATAGTATATTCTTCAAAGATTCATAATAATGAATAATAATTTGAATTTGCTTATAAAAAATTAAGATTTTTAAAATAATAAATTATTATTATTATTATTTAACGAAAATAAATCAAACAATAGCAGACGACACGAAACGGAACGGGGGAAATATAATCCAACGTTGCCAAGCGTTGAGCTAGTACTACGTGATACAAATGAAAAATTAAATGGGCATTGATTTGACTGACGTTGGAGGGAGAGAACTTCCTTAATTAGCATAAAAAATTTAGTTTGAAGGTTAAACTTATAAATATCTCAAAACACGTTGTCTCCGATTTTGACAAAATCTATGTCAAAAGATAGCTTAAATATTCTATTTTTTATTTCCGTAAAGTTTATAATGGACATTTTCGAGAATTTCCAGAAATTAATTAAAATTCTCAGACGTTTCGGAGGTTAAAAAGGATTGAAAGTATGAATGGAGAACCATTTCTTTAAGAGCGGATTTTGTTTTTTAAATTTAATTTCCATTAACCTTACATTATTACATCACTTGACATTAGAGAAAAAAAATATTGTAAACAATAAATATATTGATCTTTAGCTATTTGCAATTAAAAATTTTTCAAATTTAAAAAAATTATTAAGATTAAAATTGAAGTTTTAAAATTTATTTATTTAAAAATTTCGTAAAAACAAATGCCGCTGTATTTGAACAGAGGTTCTCTATTCATGCAAATTTCAACCCTTTTTAACCTTTGAAGCGTCTGAGAATTTTAATTAATTTCTCGAAATCCTCGAAAATGTCCATTATAAACTTTACGGAAATAAAAAATAGAATATTTAAGCTTTCTTTTGACACAGATTTTGTCAAAATCGGAGACAACGTGTTTTGAGATATTTATAAGTTTAACCTTCAAACTAAATTTTTTATGCTAATTAAACGTTTTTTTAAAAAATTTTTTTTACAATAATAAAGTTTAGAAATTTCTCTTTCGAAACCACTCATTGCAAAAGTAATTTGATTTAATTAAATGGGAGAAATAATTATTTAAAAAATGTCTTATATTGTCAATTGTTTACTAGGGGTATAATTTTAAAATAGAATGCCCCATATATTAAACTTGATTTTAAATAAAAAAAAATCTAAAATTTAAATAAAATGAAATTTCATGTTTGTGCAATTTTCAATTCTCTTAATATTTTTTTTTCTTTTTTTTTTATTGTAATCGTATTTTGCTTTTTTGTATTATAGACTGGAGACTGGTACTAAAAAAAGTCGTTCTGATACAAACACTCATGGTGAAGGGAAAACCCAACGTTGTTTGTTCTGTGAATTTTGTAGTAAGGAATTTACACACACTGGAGATTTAAATAAACACAGAAGAAAACATACTGGCGAGAGACCTTATGATTGTTCAATTTGCAATCGAAAATTTTCCCACACATCTAATTTAGCGAGACACCAACGACTACATTCTGGGGAGAAACCTTTTGTTTGTCCACTAAAATGTGGCAGAAATTTTAGTAGAAAAGATAAACTTTCTGATCATATTTCAAAATATCATTCAAATATAAATAAATAATTATATCTAAACAATAAAAATAATTTAAAAAATAACAAAGCCTACTAATAATAATAAATTTGATTTTTAAATTTTAAATTTATTTTAATTTAATTTTAAAAAAAATTTATTTATTTAATTTTAAAACCCTACGAGTAGAAAAAGTTAGATTCCATCTAAATATGCGTTATCCTATTTTTTCGAACACGAACTACACTCTCGGTATGTGTAATCCTATTATCAAAAAATAAAAAGTTGAAAAATGAAAATTTACATTTTCAATAAAACTAAAAAATTTTATTTTTAGTCAGTTATTTGATTTTTCTTTGAATTTTTTGTTTATAATTTACCCTTTCACTAAAATTTTCATTTAAACGAATTTTAATTTGACGAAACTTTTTTAATTTAAAAGAAATTGCGTTTAACCGAATTGGTATTTAACTAAATTTTTATTAAACCGAACTTTAGTGTTTGACAAAAGTATATTTTAACAGGAATTTAAAAATTATTCAATGAAAAATTAAATTTATTTCATTAATTAAATTTAATTGTGATTAATTTTGAAATTTGCACTAAAATACTTTTGTTGAATTAAATTTCAGAATCAATTACTAATATTTGCGGTTTTTATTATAAAACTTTTTGCTATATTTGATATAAGATTCAATAAAATAATATGTATATAATTGTTTAAAAACAAATATATAAATTTTAAACAGAAATTAAAATGAAAATTTGTTTGTTAACGAAGCTGAAGTACGCAACGTTTATGATAAACGATTTTTTAAGAAATAATTTTTTAAAATAAAAATTCTATAATTTTTTGCCTAAAAAATATTTTTTTATAATTTCTTGATGAATGAAAACTATAAGAAATATTTTTTAGGCAAAAAATTATAGAATTTTTATTTTGAGAAATTATTTTTTAAAAAATCGTTTATCATAAACGTTGCGTACTTCAGCTTCGTGTTTGTTAAATTGTTTTAAAAATTATATTTGGCAACAATTATATAAATAAAAAATGTTTGAATTTTAATATTGGAAAAAAACTAACTTTTTTTCTAGAGGTTCCTTGTCATTTTTTTTGTTTTATCAATTTCTGGATCTTTAACCTGTTGAAAAAAAAAAATAATTTTTATTATTACTATTATTAATGTTAAAAATAAATAACAAAATTTTTTTTTTTTTTAATGTAAATATTTAAATTATCATAAAAATATCAACGTCTTTTGCAAAATTATTAGAATTCCTAAGAAAAATTCTAATTTCACATATCAAGGAATTTAATTTGTCTGTAAGTATAATTTAATTTTCACTATAATTATTGACAAAATATTTTTGAATATAACAGAATTTTTAATTTAATTAATTTTTATATAATTACATAATTTATTACCTGTGAGGAATTAAATATTTTAATTTAATGGTTGTTTTTTTTCATTAAACAAAACTCTTGATCGCCGATATTAACTACCAAATTTAATTATTAATTAATTTTAAAACTTAGATTTCCTTTTTCAAAAAAAAAACATTTCGTAAAATAAAAAAAATACTTCAATCGAATACAAAAAAAAATCTGGATTTAATTTCGCGATAAAAAAAATAACCTCAATTAATCGTTGATAAAGAAAAAAATGTAATCTAACCTACAAACCAAACACATCGAAAAATCACACGCATAATTTTTTTATGTAAAAAAAGAATATCTTGAATATGTAAAAAATGTAATTTATAACAATTTTCTCGATAAATAATTCACACGTGAAATATATATAAAAAAGCCGGTCGCGACGCGCACATGGAAAATTAATTCTATATAACCTACACAAAAAACGCCAAAACTCTATATGTAAAAATAATTTTTATTGGAAAATGAATCTGGAATATAAAACAAATAATTTATTTCTCAATATTCGGAATATATAAGTATTTCCAGAAAGCAGAAAAACCGGTCAGAAAATAAAGAAAAGTTTAACCCCTTTACAAAAGAAGTTGGATTTTTACACTCACTTTTGTTGACAATATTGTACATTATTATTAATTTTCAATATACTCACCAAATTAGAAATAACTAAACAACTGAACGAACTTAAAACAATTAATAATTTTTTTCTATTTACAATATAATCGTTAATTAAAAACTTTTACTGCAATACATAAGTCGGCGTCACACTATAAAATGCAAATGGCGTCCGCGCATGACTGAGAAGCGAATGTCCAACAATTTTCGCGCCCTCCATTTCAAAGTGGATAATACCGACACTAGATAAATAAATCAATTCTACTATACTTTCTACATTATCAATTGAGAGGGAAATTTATTTTCATTATTATTCCGTGACGCTAGTGTCAATTAATCACCGTTTTTCTGAATTTTGTATATATTTAAAAAAAAAAACAATAAACACTATAAATGAAAAATAAAAAAAAATTTACTCTCGAAAATAAATTATTATTAATAAAAGTTTAATTTGAATTTGACGATTTGAATTATTCCCCGGACTTTTTCTATATGAGAGAATAATGTATAAGTTACTCAAAAAGTGAGGTTATATTTTCATTGTTTAGTTATAATTAAACAGAATTTAACAGCAAAATTTTGTTTAAAACACAGTAATTAAAAGAAGGAAAAATAATTTTTCTTTTATAATTAGTAAATTTTTTCAATGCTGAATATTTTATTCGTCAAATTTAATGATTATATACAAGAAAAACAATTAAATTTAATGGTGATTTACGTGCGTCGAAAAATAAATTACTTTTACATTCAATAATAAAGAGAAATAAGACTGTTTTTCTGTTAATCAAAAAAATTCAAATGTCGATGAAAAACGAAAAAACCACAAAAAATCTGAAACGTACAAGAGATGAAGCATCATGGGAACGAAATAAAGTTAAAAGCGCACGAAATCTGGTAAATTTTAAAATAATTTCTATTTCACTATTTATATATTTTTTGAAGGTAAAAAAAGAGTAAAAAAAAATCAGGATCAGGAAAATCAGGGAAAAAATATTTTTGTCGAGAAAATTTTAGAAATTGAACAAATTTATAGAAAAAGTAAATTATTTACTTTCTGTAAGCGTAAATAGTTTTAATAATTTTTGCCTTTAAAAGGGATTATATAGGTTATCTAATTAAAATTTCTTTTTACCAATTTCAGCTATTTTGAAAACTTGTTATCCATTTCACCATTTTTTGTTTCGATTAATTTGCAGATGTAATTTTTCAAAAATTTACAATGTAAAAACATTGATTTAACCTTAGCAATGTTGAAATATAATTTATTATTTTAAAGAGAATTTCTTTTAACATTCTTAAATTTCTATTAATTTAGAGGACGTAAAATTACAGATTTTCATCTTTTCTATATATAAATGATTTAATTATTGATCCAAGCTTGAATTATTCACAAAATTTTCATTGTTTTAAAAATTATTTAGATCAAATTTCAATAATTCTGAATTTTAAATTTGTTGAAGCATTTAATGATTAATATTCCAATAAAAACAAAATTTAAATTAATTCTAATCAACCATCAATTCAATCAATCCAAAATTAAATTTATTCCAATTTTAATTCATCTAAATTTGAAATTAATTAAATTTTATTCAATTCAAATTTCAAATTAATTTAAATTTAAATTTTAGCTTTAAGTGATCCAATTTTTAATCAAAAAAAAAAAATTACGGACAATAATTAAGTTTTAGAGATTTAAAAATTTTTTAATAATATTGAATTTTCGAAAAATATTATAAAAATGATTAAAAATAATTGAATTTTCGAAAAATATTATAGAAATCATTAAAAATAATTGAATTTTCGAAGAGTTACAATTGAATTTTGTAGAAATAATTGAATTTCAAATAAAGATTTTTTTTGAATTTCAGACGATAATTAAATTTTACAGAACTGAAAATAATTTATCAAATAATTTTTGATAACATTTTTTAAAAGCAATATTGAATTTAAAAAAATTTGTAATTCAGATTTTTGAAAATAATTGAACTTCAAGTGATTCTTGATTGAAATATTTGGTGATTTCTGCTGAAGAATTAATTAGAAATTGCAGACAAAAATTGTACTTTAAAAGTTTTTAATTGAAAAATGTTTTATAGTTATAGTTGAAATTTATTACAAAATATTTCGTTCGTTTTTGATTTATTTTCAAATTGAATAAATTTTTTTAGAAAAATTTTATAAATAATTCCCACTTTTAATTCATTATCAATAAAATTCAATTGTTATTTATTTTTTAAAATTTAAATTCTTTTAAATCAATTACAGGCCTCGGATCAACTTTAAGGTGCAAAAAAGTCGTTTTAATCAATTTACATTGAAAAAAGCCGAAAAAGTCTATTTTTAAATTCAATTAAATTTAATTAGTTAATAAATATTGTACTTTAAATATCAAATTATATTGTTAATAATTTCATTTATTTTTTCATTCCTTAATAAGAATAATTCTACATGAATATTATCAAGTAAATTTATTAAATTAAAGCTTTTTTAAATAATTGAATTTTTAAAGAAATATTAAAAGTATTAAAAATAATAATTGAATTTTTAGAGTTTTAGAAATAATTAAAATTCAAAAGATTTTGTAAAATTTTACAGAACTGAAAATAATTTATCAAATAATTTTTGATAACATTTTTTAAAAGTAATTGAATTTAAAAAGATTTGTAATTTAGATTTTTGAAAATAATTGAACTTCAAGTGATTCTTGATTGACATTTTTGTTGATTTCTGCTAAAGAATTAATTAGAAATTGTAGACAAAAATTGTACTTTAAAAGTTTTTAATTGAAAAATCTTTTATAGTTATAGTTGAAATTATTAAATTTCAGAAAGGTTCAGATGGAAAATTTTTAGAAATAATTAAATTTTTGAAGGTTTTAAATTGAATTTTTTTTAAATAATTGTGATTTTGAATTGAAATTTTTGTTAATTTTATTTAATGATTTTTTTTTAAATTTTAAACAATTATTGAATTTTATAAAATTATTAATTGAAAAATAGTTTAAAATAATTAAATTTGTGAAGAATTTCATTACAATTGTTGAAAATAATTTAGAGAAGATTTTAGTTAAAAATTTGTTAAATAATTTAAATAAAGATCTGAAAAAGATTTGCATTGTATATTAAAAATTACATATTTTGTTTAAAAATTTGGTAAAAAAAATGTAAAAAAAAGTCGCATTTCATTAAAATTGTTCAAATTTTAATTGATTTAAGCTTCAAATTTTAATTTGTCCAAATTTGAATTAATTTAAGTTTAAAATTTTTCAAATTTTAATTGATTTAAGTTTTAAATTATTTGAATTTTAATTAATCCAAATTTTCAATTCTATTAATTCTTCAATCATTCATGAGAAAATTTAAATATATATACAAATTAGTTATTTTCCACATTAATTGGGGAATTCATTTTAAAAAAGGGGAAAAAGAAATCAATTTTTTTCTAACTTCAAATTATTAGATTTCTATTAAAATTCATTAAAATTTAAAAAAAAAATTTTGTTAGGAATAATTTTTAATGTTTTTTTTTTTGTTTAAATTTAATTTCTAGTTCTAACAAAAAATTTGACTTTGTTTTTCGTTTATTGTTGTTAAATTATCAATTTTTTTTTTTAATTATAATATCCACATATAATTATTTTTTTTTTTTAGGGACAAGCGTATACATCAAAATCGGGTGTCGATGTTGCCGAAAAGAAATTTGTTCCAGTCGAAGAAATATGCTGCAAAAAGGAATGTTTTCGTTTTGTTGATGGCGACAGTCAACGAGATTTATTTGAAAGTTTTTGGAAAAGTGGCGATTATGTTCAACAAAATGCAATGATTGCCGCTGGTTTAATGAAAAAAAAACGACACGATCCATTGAGCGCTGATTCAAAACGTGAAGATTGGAATTATTATTTTAGTCATCCATTATATGACGAGAGAGTTGCAGTTTGTCGAAAATTTCTATTAAAATTATTACATCTCAGTCAGGGACGTTTCTATACGGTTCAACAAAAAATGCTTGCAGGTGAAATTTTAATTGATAAACGTGGTAAACATAAAAAGCATGTTGTCAAATTAACGGACATGGTAAAAGATTTAATTCTTAAACATTGCGAAAGTTTGCCACACTCATCAGTGTGTTATAAAACTGGTGAGGTAAAAATAAATTATTTTGACGATCCTGCATTAAATTTAAAACGATTGTACGAATCATTTCTTGATTATTATGCAGCTATAACGGAAAATAGTGAAATTCCACTTAATTTAAGTACCTACAGTTACTATTTCAATCAACATGTCAATTATAGTTTTAGACCATCAATGAAAGTGTAAAGAAAACAAAGTCAGTAATAATGTTACACTATTATAATATTAATATCAGAAAATAAATATTTTTTTTAATAAAATTTACAATATTTTCAAATAGAAGAATTTTTTTCTTAGTTTAGGAAAAAAAACTAAATTCATTTTAATTTATATAAATATACATTGTAAAATTAATGATATTAATTAATAAATTAATTCTTCAATTGATAACATTAATTTTTCATTTCTCAATAAATTAAAATAACAATAGTAAACAATTTTTCTCTTATAGTAAAATTGTTCCCTATTTTTTTTTATTAGATATTAGCTTTAAAGATTAAAGAATTGCAAATTTTATTTCTAATTTTTACTTCGATCACTATTATCAAATTTCATTTTATTTCCATATTTGAAAAAAAAATTATTTTTATTGGTCAATTTTAAAAAAATGAAAAAATCCAAAATGTGCATTTTGAACAGCGAAAAACTTTAAGTTACTTGAAAATTGGTTTCTAATCAAAATTAGTTAAAATTTGTTTTATAAAATGAAAAAAATCTCTAATTTGATTCAATTCAATTAATTCACAAATATAATTAGATTAAAAAACTAAAACATAAAATAATTGCAGGCATAGGATTATACGACTTTTTTTTACCTTTTTTTTAACAAAATTTTTAAACAAAATACGTCTTTTTTATTATACAATACAGATCTTCTTCAGATCTTTTTTATTTTAATTATTTAATAAATTTTTAACTAAAATTATTATTCTCTAAATTATTTTTAATAATTTGAATGAAATTCTTTACAAATTCAATTATGTTAAACTATTTTCAATTCAATTATTTTTTGAAAAAGGTTATTCTAAAATTATTTGATAAATTATTTTCAATTCTGTAAAATTTTACAAAGTCTTTTGAATTTCAATTATTTCTAAAACTCTAAAAATTCAATTATTATTTTTAATATTTCTTTAAAATTCAATTATTTAAAAAAGCTTCAATTTAATTATTTTCCGAAATTTTTTTTTTTGACCATTAAAACTAAAAACTATGCAAAAAATTTCAATTCAAATTATTTGCATAAATCAGACTTTAATTTTTTGTTAAATTTTTCGTACTTAATTAAAATTTTGAAAATTCGTCTTAATTCGGTTTTTAAATATTAGAAATAAATTTACTTGATAATATTCTTGTAGAATTATTCTTATTAAGGAATGAAAAAATAAATTAAATTATTAACAATAACATTTGATATTTAAAGTACTATATTTATTAACTAATTAAATTTAATTTAATTTAAAAATCGACTTTTTCCACTTTTTTCAATGTAAATTGATTAAAACGACCTTTTTGCACCTTAAAGTCGATCCGAGGCCTGTAATTGATTTAAAAGAATTTAAATTTTAAAAAATAAATAACAATTTAATTTTATTGTCAATGAATTAAAAGTGGGAATTATTTATAAAAATTTTCTAAAAAAATTTTTATTCAATTTGAAAATAAATTAAAAACAAACGAAATATTTTGTAATAGATTTCAATAAAATACAGGCATTTCAAAAATTTTAAACATAAATCTAATTTAAAATAAAAAATTTTCTTCCAATTTTTATTTTGAACATATTTAAAAAATAATAATAATAAAATTATATTATGTTTAAAAAGTTTATTAATTTTTATCCATATTATTTTCTAAAGTCAATTATTTTTTAAAAATTGTTAAGTTCTTTCTTTAAATTCAATTATTTAAAAAGTTCAATTACCAAATAATTGAATTTAAGCATTTTATTGTTCTATATATCTAAAACTGAATTTTTAAAATTTTTTGAATTTTCTTGATGTTATAATAAAGTAAATTAATTTTTAAATTTTGTAAAATTGCGAGAAAATGTTCCATACCAAAAAATCAAATAATTAAATTTAAATTATTAGTTTAATTTTTATGGTATTAAAAATATATTTCTCAATGAAACAAAAAAATATATTTTTTTTTTCCGAATTATTAGAAAAAATTGAGAATTGTATCAATTAATTTACTTATATCAGATTAATAATAAACTAATATAATTTTTCAGGTTGAATACTTTTTCTTACAATTAGCCAGAACAATTAAAACATTCATTAGAATTATCCATAAATAAAGACTTTATTTCTAAATTTTAATTCGATCACAGAAATTATTAAGTTTCTAAGAGCAAAATAGTTTTTAAAGTAACATTGTTTTTTCTAGAAATATCTAGAAAGATCAACATTAAATGATACAATACAATTGATGAAATGAAACAAAACATGAATTACAAACAAAAAATAATAAACATATGAAAAAGAAAATTTGAATATTTTTAAGAGAAACAAAATTTTTCTTAATTAATCTCTTTTAAAAAAGAATTTCAAAATAAAATTTACTTATTTTTCTTTTATTATTAAATTCAAAAATTCAAATTAGAATACTAATAATATAAAAAATTAGAATTTTTTGTTTGAAATCAAAATTACTTTTTTTTTTTTTGCATTATTAACAGTTGCAAAAAAGAACATTTTAATTGTTTTTCATAGAAAAAATATTTTTCAAAAGAAAATTAATATTTAAAAGAAATTTTGAATTTATAAATAAATTTGAAGAATATTGTTCAAAAATTTGAAATTTAATTAAAGAATTAATTTGAGAAAAATTTCGTTCACATTATGAACATTCAAAATTTTTGATTAATTACACTAAACAATAATACAGTAGAATCTTAAATAAACATTTTCAAAGTAATTTAAACATTTTTAATTGTCGAAGTCGGTTTTTTTTTTTTTTTTTAACTATTTCTAAGTCTATTTTTTGTTTTCTTTTTTTTAATTACAAGACAACTTTAGTAAACTTTGAATTTTTTTTTTTTTCTTTACATAAAAACACTTTTCTCTGTTTAAAAAAGGGTCCATTTACAATACATTAAAAAAAAATCACACACTTGTATGTGGTTCCTTATGCAAAGATGCCAAATGAGCTTTAAGTGAATAATGAGATTCCCTTTGAAGTGGCCTTTGCAATGGATGAGCAACTAATTTCACCATATGATCATGTAGTCTCGTTGCATTTCTTCCAACTTCAAAAATATATGCCGAATTTTTCACATCCAATGCATTTAATGCCGAATAAATTGCATCACAATTATTTTCTTCACTTGGATGTTCATGAATATACAAAATGTCCAAAAAGAAACGTTGTTTTTTCATTAATAAATCAAAATTTAATTTTGATGTTAAAAATGTTGGTATCGCATGTGAACGACAATAAATAAATATAACACGATTAACACAATTTACACTTGTTGTTTTAAAACAATCGTCAATATCATTAAATAAATTACCCAAATCAAATGTTTGTGAATCATTTTCATATTCCTCAATATCATCAATATAATGCAAAAATTCAATAGTATTATTCATAAATGTATGAATACGTTGTATTTTATTTGCATTCAATATAAATAGACAATATTCATGATTTGAATTAATTGACGATTTAATATTTATGAAAATTTCCACAATTCGTTTAATCATAAATAATGGTGGAAATTTATCACCACGACCTAATTCAAATTGTGTGGCATTTGATTCAGTTGTTGCATCAATAACAAAAAGTATTTTCTCTTGTATATTTATTGGTTTTATATTGTTTGTTTGCATTTTCATACGAATATCAGATTTTTTTTTATTTTCAAAAACACGTGAATCAATTAAAGACTCGGTGATGGTGCTGGCGGTGGTTGTTGTAGTTGTGTGAATATCATTGGAATCACTTGTCGAACACATTTGCATTTTTTCTGATAAACATGTAACGTCCTCTTCACTTCCCTCCAACATTATTTATATTGACATTCGTTTATATACGTACAATATTATTAAATTTCACAATAAAAATGAGATATTTTTGGAAAATTGAGTGAATAAACAGAAAAAACGTTCAAGAACAACAAACAGCTGATTGGGGGAGGGATTTAAGAAAAATATCACCACGCGGCGCTGGTGTTTCTTTGTAACACGCAATTTTTCAGTTTTTACAACATTTTTAATAATAAAATTGCTTCTTTCGATTGGTGTTTTTTACATAAAAACTAAAGGAATAAATGAAAAATTCTATTCTTTTGCAGAGAAATTTTCTTTAATTTTCGTTTTTTAATTTGAATTTTGCCGGGCAAATAGAAACTATCACTAATTTGTGACGTCAGAAAGTGTCGGTAAAATCAATGCTCAATTACCGGCTAATTTGCATATGTTTGTTTACAATTTTTTAACAATATTTTGATATTAAAATGCATGTAAAATTACTAATTGTCTTGTAATTAATTGTAAAAGTTGTTTGTGAGGGAAATTAATATCTATTTTTCGAATACCAACGGCTAGAAATTTAAAATCAATGTTTATATAAAATTATTTGTGACCGCGACGTGAAAAAAGGGTTGTGTTTTAAAAAATGATTTACATATCCAAAAAATCAATTAAAAAATTGACGAATTTGTTCTAAACATTTTATTTCAGGTAATTATTAATTAAATATTAGATTTATAATGTGATATATTATATTGTCATTATGTGTATATTATCTAAAAAATTTTAAATATATATTGTTGCGAGAATGTCATAATTTTGCAAAAATAACTTTATTTGATATAAAATATATGAAATCTACAACTTTCGTCCTAATATTAATTAAGAAAATTTAAATTATCAAGAAAATTGGAGGTATTTATAAACAAATTTTTAATTTAATTTTTTTTTAAATTTCGAAAAAATCCTTTCGCATGAAGTTGGTGTCGACGCTCAGCGTTGAAAATTATTTTTCATCGGACCAAAAATATTAAAACATTTTTTAAAAGGGTTTTGGGTCAACACAATACTTTGAGAAGTATTTTTCAGGGTGTTATTTGGATTAAAAATTTAAAAAAATTATAATTTGGAAATTTTGATTCTGCGAAAAACAATTTTCGGCGCTGAGCGTCGAAGCCAACTTCAGGAAGGTTTCGCCGCAACGGGATTTGGCTTAAAATTTACTTAATTTTTTTACCAAAAATTATTATTATTATTATTATTATTATTATTATTATTATTATTATTATTATTATTATTATTATTATTATTATTATTATTATTATTATTATTATTATTATTATTATTATTATTTCAATGATACAGCTTCTTATGGACAATATTTAAAATAATGCTTTATACTTCCGATCAAAATTATAAAACAATTTTTTTTTTTTATTAATGAAAATTATCATATATGTAAAAAAAAAAAGAAACGAAATCTTTAATATTCTGTGAATTATTTTGAAAATAATAATTATTTTAATATTAATAATAATAATATTAATAAAAAAAAAAATAAATAAAAAAATGAAGTAAATAAATAATTTTAAAAAATAAAATTATTATTGATCAGAATCATAAAAATGCAAAATAAGTTTTTCAAATTTTTAATAAATTATTATATTCAAATAAACAATTAAATTTACTAGTTTTCAAAAATATAAATAAAAATAAATGGCGAATGTATTATTTTTTGGTATAAAAATAAAATTTTTCAAGTTTAACATCATGTATTTATTAACATTACATGTATTTAATTTTTTTTTTCTCACTTTTCTGACAACTTTCTAAGTACTTAAATTAATTCATGAATTTCTTAATATTATAGTACTAAGGCTTTAATATAATAAAGTACTTTTTTTCTTTTACAAACTATATTAACATTCCCTTCACTCATACCATTGAGATTATTCGTCCTCAAGATTCAAAAAATTGTATATTAAAAAACATAGTTTTAATTCTTAATTTGTAAATATATGCAATTTATTTTTAAATCAATAAATGTCTTTTAAAACTAAATTCTATTAAGATTTGATCTTTTTTTTTTCATTTATAGAGTATATATTAATAATAAAGTAAAAAATAGTCTATTACATCCTATACATAACATTTGTTATTATAAGATAAAATTGAATACTTAGAATATTTTATATTGTTTTTAAAAAATTTAAATAATAATTTATAAATACTTAAAAAAGAAATAAAAAAGTTATTATATATTTAATTTTAAATTTATATAATTTATGTTTCTAGTATATTAAAAAATATTTCAAAAGTACAATAATTATAAAAAAAAAAATATTAGTATAAAATTTTAGAATGAAATAAAACATAAAAAAAAATTTTATATTGTAACTAACTTGCTGTATTATTAAATAACATTTGTTCTATTTTAAAATATTTCAATTTCAAACGATTGAAAAAATTTTTTTTTTTTTCTTTAAAATTTCATCGCAAAAAAAAAAAAACTTTTATAATATAATATTTTATCAAAAAAGACAAAATTTGGCCACTATTCTCACTCAAAATTTTTTTTTTTAAATATTTCTACTTTCGTTTTAAAGTTATTAAAATTAGAAAAAAAAATTTTTGTTCACAACATGGGAGCTCGAGAATATGAAATATGATTAGAAGATCGACGAATAATGATAATCATTATAAGTGAAAAAAATGCCACTATTGAACCAACAACAGCATAAATTTCCAAAAGTACAAATCTTTGTGGCAACCATAAAATTGTAAAATCCAAAGTCTTTTCTTGAGTATCTGCAAAAAAATAATATTTAATTTAAAAAAAATTTTCTACACATTTTTTCTATCTTTACAAAATTTATATATTAAAAAAAAAAAAAAATTCACGTCCTATATTCAGTTTTTACTAGAATTAAATATATAATTTGAAGAAACAAATGTATTTATTAAATTATTATATTATTAAATAATTAATTCTTACTAATGTACGCTAATCCATAGCCCATATTTTTCGTTCCCATTCGATAAGAGCACGTTGGTATTTGTATTTCATGAACATCGCCCAAATCCAATCGTAATTGATAAAATGAAACTTCTTGCGGTGGAAAAAGTTGAATTTCACTAAGTTGATCTGTTGCCGTATCTAAACTTGTGTGCATTCCTTTGTGTTCATGTGCACTGAATATTATTTGTGGCGATAATTCTTTAATAACCTACATATAAGAGAAATGTGAAGAAAAATTATCAAGTTTCAATTTTTTTTAATTTATTTAAAAAACCAATTGCAAATATATTTCTAAATTAATTTTTCTTTTTTAATTCAGGTTTAAAATTTTTTAAAATTTTCTTTCAAAAAAAATTTAGTATTCAATAAGTTATTTTATTTTTATTATGTATCTGATTTAATAAAAATAATGTTTTAAAGTAGGAACGATTTTTTCTTTCTGAACAAAAAAAAAAGAAGAAATTTATACATACATTTTGAACAAAAGTAGCGGGCATGAAAAGTAATGGCATATGGCTAAGTACGACATTCGTTGTATTTCTTTCGGCATAATCATTTAAAAATGCATCCTTAGGAGCCATTGGCATATCATGAATTAATCTATTGACCTATGAAAAAAAAAGAGAAAAATCAATAAATTATTTAACGATTAAAAGAAACATCTACTTTTCGTTTTTTAATATTATTTTCGTTTTACCTTAAAAAAATTAACACTTTTATACACTAAAGTATCTGGCTGAGTGTAAGCAAAATTAAATCTTTGATGAATATTTTTCATAACCGAATCCTCTTCGCCTCCAATATCATTGTCTCCCGGCAAGTAAATTTTCTATTAAGAAAAATTTTTTAAAAATATTTTTACATTGTTTATACTATCATAGACCATTAAATCAATTTCGTAATAAAATTGAAAAAAATTTATATTAATTATAAATAAAAAAATGTAAAGAAAAAAAAAATTCAAAACCATTTATCTGAATAATTGATTAAAAATTTTTTTTTCATACAATTAATCAAATGAAAAGAAAAAATGGAATTAATTATTTCTCTTAACTTCTGTAAATGAATATAAGCTAATATAAAATAATCATTTTTCATTTTGAAAAAAATATTAATTATACATTTACCATTATATCATCAGAGGTAGAGAAAATAGAATTTAATCTGCGTTTATATTTTTCAAATTCTTCAGCTGAAGCAATGTGACCTTCGTCCATAAGATCACCAAGAAAAGCAATTGCATGAGGTTTTGCTCGTCTCACAGCTCGCGAAAATGTTTTTTCTAAATACCTAAATAGATTTCAATTGTTAAGTAAAACAATGAAATTTAAATATAAAATAACGAAACAAACGCGAATAGACAAAACAAACATTTAAACGAATAACAAAATTGTTTTTTTAAAATTTCTTTTAAATGTAGTGTCACAGTTATATTATTTTATACCTATCACTATCCCAAATCGCCAGAGAAGATCCAAAATAATTTTCATTTTTTATTCCTAATATTTGAGGATCAGCGACAAGTAAAACTCGCACACAATCTCTACATTCCAATAAAGTCCATTTTAAACTTTGTATTTCATATACAATAAATTCATTGTACAAAATTACTGAACCCAATATCAAAGCAAAAATAAACGGCTTTGATTTCACCCTAAACATAAAATATTTTATTTTATTATTATTATTATTATTATTTAAAAAAAATTCTATAATTTATAATTTTATATGAGCCAAAAGTTTTGAACGTTCAAAAATTTATTTTCCAACTTCTTTAAGTACAAATTTTATTACAAAATATTGTTTTAAAAATATCTAAACGGAAATTATTAATTTAATTATTTGTTTAATTTACTATTTTATTTTACATTGACATTATAGTTTTTAATAATTTATAGATTGAAAATAATATTTTGTTTATTTGAACATTCAAAACTTTTGGCTCATAATTTTATAATAACAATTTTTTTTTTTTCAATAATTTCAATTTGTAAATTTTGCATAAAAATTTTGAAATATACAATAATTATGTACATATTAAATATATGTATAATGTAAGAAATAATTAATAATTATTATTATCAAGTAAAAAATAAATAATATTCTATACAATTTTTTTTTGGAATTAATGAATCATTATTTAAAAAAAAAAAAAAAAAAAAGTTAAATATAACATAGTCGTGACTAGAAAACAGTGAAAATTATATCTTATCAGATACATAAATTTGTTTCCTAAAATTGGTTTCTTTTTTGTATATAGACAAAAATTTTATCAAAAAAGATTATCGGTTAAAATGTACTTTTATAATATTAGTTTCTGATAATATTTAATGTAATATAAGAATGACCAAAGAGTAAGTAATACATATATATATTTTTTTTTGTTTGAAATATTTATATTATAAAAAATTTCTATTTTCCTGAAATTTTTAAATTTAATGAAATTAATCATTTTTATATTTATTTTCATTATTTTGTAGTTTAAATTATTAAAATACAAAAGGAAAAAAATGAATTAAATTTATCAAAATGTTATTTCGTTATTTTTATAAATTATTTAAACACCAAAAAAAAATGAACTAAATTTGTCAAAAAGTTAATTTTTTTTTTTAAATTAACATAATAATTCAACACGTTTTTCATTTCCTGTTTATATAGGTAGTTTAATATTTCACAATAAGCTCCCATTGTTGATGAATGATTAGTGATGATATCAGAAGATATCTCTTTATTATGATAATGACTAATACTTATACGAAAAGTGATCCACATTTTTTTTTTTTTTTTTTTTTTTAATAATATACAATATTCTTTATGAAAGGTGCATGTGACATAGTTACATAATCGAAAAAAAAGTAACTTACCTACTTCGACGTAGCATGTTTTTAGTCTTAGGTTTAATCGCTAGGAACAGAGTTCATTAACCAGAATAATTCCGGTTAAACTGTATCCAAAATTAAATTGCATTTTTTTGTAATTTGCAATTATTTTTGTCTGTGAGATCATACTGATGTTGACACGTACTTGTATTCATTGTTTTTTCATTTGATTCGCATTTAGGAAATAATAACAAAAAAAAGGGGGAAAAATCACTCTTAAGTATTCAATTGCTAATTTCAATTAACCAAAAGCAGAATAATTAAATAGTTTACATTGAATAAAACAATATAGTTAAAAATGTTCAATTTAAATATTTAATCATTATATGTTGATTTGACAGTTCGTGCGAGCAGACGACATTTGACAAGTCGCAAATTTTTAGGTTAGAAATAAGGGCGGCGCTTTCAAATAAATTTTAATAAATGAAAAAGAATTTACAAAATGTTAAAAATTAATTAAAAATCAGTTTGAAAAGATATTGACATTTTTGTTACGATTTTATCAATTTATGAAAGTGAAAAATAAAATTTTAGTTTTTTGACAAATATAATAAACAAAACCTCAGTTTTAGAATTTGGAGGTTATGTTTCACCCATCTTCGTTATATTTTTATTTTATTAGAAAAAAACATAAAAAATTTATTTTTCTAATTATTATATAGTATTCTAATAAGTAATAATATATAATATTGAAAAATATTGAAATTTATTTCCTATATATAAGCCACATTTCAGGAAGATAAAATAGCAAACAAAAGTTTTAAAGAGGGCAGCGCAGCGCAGTTTAAATCCCCACCACGTCATTATCTTTGTTTAATGCGTGTATATTGTGTGGTGTATGTATCATAAACTATTATCATGAATATGATAAAACTCCACATCAGGCTATAGTGTTCTCATATAGTTTTTTTTTTATATTATAGTTCCATGATTATGTAGAACAAAATTAAACAATATACATTTTATATAATAAGAAAGATTATACAAATCAAGTGGTGAAAGATTCTTGAAAAAAAAAAAAAAAAACGCACTTGCTTCTGCTGACAGTGAAATGTGTACAAGATTTGTTACAATTTCCAGTGTATGTTATATATGAAGATATTTTTCTTTTTAAACGCGAATTAAATTTTCAATATGATGTTAATTGTCCCGATAACCTTCGACCATTGGAGTTGATTTTTAATACGATTACCTTTATCCTCATTAATGACATATGCCTTGAACTTACATTTTCAATGTCAACATCGGAATAAAATTTGCGGTTAGGAACGCCTTCGTAATATTTTGCCATCAGTGAAATAAACTGGGATTTTGCAATAATTATTTACTGTTAGTCGAGAAAAAAAAAAAAAGAAAACAATGATACGGAATTGGGAAGTTATCACAACGTATGGAGAAACCAAACTTTATGTTTTCATCATTGTCTCATTGGCGTTTTAGAATATTGAAAAAAAATAATAATCTTGCTCCATTAAAATTGAGTGAATTTGTGGCTAATGATTATAAACATTCAAAGGTGTAATTTTTTAATTTCAATTATTATGTAAATAACATAAAATATTGTCTATTTTGTGAAGGGAAAAACTTGTTATTTTCAACATAAGCAAAATGGGTTCCATCGCTTTAGAGGAATATGAATTGATGAAAGACTCAAAATATCGAGTGTAAGTATATATGTATATATATAACGGTTCTTTTATTTAGCACGTAACAATTTTCTTTTATTTTCAAAATTATTTTTCTATTTTTATTTATATTCTAGAGAAACAGTTTATTTTGCCTTTTTTTTTTTGTTAAAGAATAAAATTACAATTTTTCTCATTTTAAAAATCAAATTTAATTTCTTTAGATTTTCGTGAACATATTTCAATAAATAAAAATTGCTTATAATTTTATTTCATTTTTTTTTATATTTCTTTCTTTGAAATTTTTAAAAATATTGACAAATTTAAAAAAATATTCTTTTCTTACAAGACAAAAAATTTGTTTACTACTTTTTTAATTTCAAATTTTTTGGCAAAATATTGAATTCTGTATTAACAAAAAAAATTAATAATTTATTAAATTGAATTAATGTACTTTTTGTTCATTGCTGTAGTAATTTTTAAATAATTTATGAACCAAAAAAATTATTTCGTTCCTTCAAACCATCAGAACTTCAAGCACATTAAAATTTAATACAAATGGAAAAAAAAAAAATAAGAAACTAGTTTATAAAAGTAAAAAAAACATAAAAACATTTTTCCAACAAAATATAGAAGCACTTTTTTTTATTTTATTTATTTCTTTTTAGATATAAATAAACAGGCAAAAAGCCTTTAAATATTTATAAACATTTTTTTTTTTTTTTTTTTTTCAAATATCAAAATATATTATCAAGCAATAAATTTGATCGTTAAATTTTACAAATTTTTCATTGTAATAACGATATACATATTCTCATGTAAATTTTATTTGTCAAAGTATTCAACTATAAATATTCATATTCACAGCTGTTGTACTTTGGAAGAGAAGAAAGAAAGAAAAAACACAACTTATTACCAATTATTAGATTTGAAAATAATTTTTGCCATAAAATTAATCTCTAACGTGTAAACGGATGTAGATAAAAAAACAAAATGAAATTCTTTTTTGTTCGATTATAAAATACGAAAGATAAAAAAAATTCATTTCTTTTTTTATAAATTTTTCTCTTTTTTTTTAAAAATAATAAAAATTATTTAATAATAATTATTAATTATATGTAATTACTCATATAATAATAGTAATATAATATTTATTTATTTATATAAACGGACTTTAACAAAAAGTAAAAATAGTATAATAATAATAATAATAATAATAATAAAATATATGAAATAGATTAAAAATAATAATAATACTTCAAATTTTAAATAATTTTGTTTAATACAAAAATACATTTTGATGATACAGAAAAAGTAATTTTTTTTAAAGAAATATAAAATAAAGATATTATATGTTTGAAAAAATTTGCTTCTATGTATGTAAAATGAAACCCAGGAGAATAGCTGTTACTTTTAATTAATATAGTATAGATGTACAGAAAAAACTATGTTAAATAATTTTGCTGCTCAGTGAAGCATTTATTGTCCAGTGTCATGAAATATATATATATATATATGACAATGAATACATTGTTACGTAAATAGTATATTTGCAGAATGCAAGTGTCAGTCAAAGATTTTTTTCTCATTTATTGAGAATACATTAAATACTGTTAAATTTATTCAAAATGTAAATTTGATTTTTAATACAAAAAATTAATATGTAGATTAAATTTTATTTTCAAGAATCTTGTCTTTAGTTATGAAAAAATATTATCAGAAAGGAAAAAATTTTTTTACCATTTTTTCACAAAATTTTGAATACAAAATTATTATTATATAATAATAAAATGCTTGGTCAGTTCTTCTGTCCTAACTTGAAATTGGCCTTTTCTGATTTCACGTGTTTTTTTTGAATAGTAATCTTATGTCGTGTCAAATTTTGACAATTCTTTTTCTCATTTTTGCCAAAATTGTATAATTGTGTTTCCAAATTTCGGAATAAGTTTCTTTAAAATTCCAAATTCGAAAATTTAATTCACGAAGCTGAAGTACACAACGTTTACCAACGAAATTTTTTTAAAGTTATAAATATTGATTCAAAAATTGTATACAAATACAAAAAATTTATGATTAGAAAAAAGAGGCGCCAGGAAATTTCGTACAAGATAGTAATTTGAAAAAAATTTATTTTTAAAAATTAATTTTTAAGGTACCAGGAGCCAACGAATACCTATTAAATATTAATTATAAAAACACAGGCCGCGAATCAACTTAAAGACACAAAAAATCGTTTTAGTCGATTTATATTCCAAAAAAAGTGGATTTGTTTTTTATTTTAACAAAAATATTTTACAGATTTTTAAATAAAAAAATTTTTTTTTAATAATAATCCTTTTCGAAGGGTTAAAGTTGAAATTTTTAGAAATAATTAAATTTCAAAAGATATTGTTAATTTTCAAACAATTATTAAATTTTACAGAACTAAAAATAATTTATCAAATAATTTTTTGAAAACATTTTTTAAATTTAATTGAATTTTCAAAGATTTAAAATTGAGATTTTTGAAATTAATTGAAACTTTAAGTGTTTTGTAATTAAAATTTTAGATGATTTCACTAAAAATTTATTAGAAAATGTGGAGAAAATACAATAATTTTAAAATCATTTTTAATTGAAAAATGGTTTCAGATAGTTGAATTTTCAAAGAATATTATTAAAATAGTTAAAAATAATTGAATTTCCTTAGAGTTATAATTGAAATTATTAAATTTCAAAAAAAAAAAATTTCGATGGAAAATTTTAGAAATAATTAAATTTTAGATGCTTTTAAATTCAAATTATTAAAAATTCAATTAATTTTAAATACAAATTTTTGAGAATAATGAAATTTTATTTGATTTTAAATTTAGAAAATAATTGAATTTCTGTTCATTTTGAATTGAAAATTTTTGGCAAATAATTGAATTTTAATTGAAATTTTGGATAATAATTTAATTTAAGTTCATTTTTGATTGAAAATTTGGATAATTAATTTTGAATAGAAATTTTAGAAAATAATTGAATTTTATTTCATTTTAAATTGAAAACTTGGTAAATAATTAAATTTTAAATTGAAATTTTTTGATAATTATTGGATTTTTAATTGATTTTGAATTAAAATTTCGGGTAATAATTGAATTTTAGTTTATTTTGAATTGAAATTTTTAAAAAATAATTCAATTTTATTGTGATATATTTTTTCTAAATTATAAAAAATAGTATAACAATAGTATAATTTCATAAAAATTTTAATTGAAAAATAATTTTGATATAATTGAATTTGTGATGTTTTTCATTAACATTATTAAAAATAATTAATTTAGTGAAGAATCATTTTAGTTCAAAATTTGTTAAATAATTGAATTGAAGAAGATCTGAAGAACATCTACATTTTATACTAAAAAAATGTATTTTATTTACATTTTTTTTCAAATGTAACAAAAAATGTCGCATTTTATTAAAATAAGTCGATAAAAGTCGTATTTTTGAAAAAAGTCGGAAAAAGTCGTATAATCCGAGGCCTGTAAACATATAATTTTCATTATTATTATTTATTATGTAATAATATTCTAATAAATTAAATTATTATTGATAATATTAATCTTTAATTTCTTTATAACAAACAATTAAATACCCAATTTGTCGCGCTTGCGCGCGTTTAATTTTGCTAGTAATTAAATAAATAATTAAATAAATCTATTTTAAATATAATAAAATAAATACTTTTTTTTAAATGTAAATATATTTTTGAGGAATTTTTTAAAACTATTTTGTTTATTTTTTAAAGTGTATAAAGTTTTTTTTTTTTGTAAGTTTTTGAATATTTTTTTTCTAGCTATGTATCGGCGGTGGACAAGGCATTGAAAAATTTCGAATACACGAGCGAATGGGCAGATTTGATATCAGCCTTGGGGAAATTGAATAAAGTGTTATTGAGTCATATGAAATTTCCTGTTATTCCAAGAAGAATAAAAATTTCGAAAAGATTAGCACAATGTATGCATCCAGCATTGCCTTCTGGAGTTCATCTCAAAGCATTGGATACCTACGATATCATTTTTAAATGTATGGGAACAAATAGACTCAGTCATGAACTATTTATTTACAGTGCTGGTGAGTTAAAAAAAAAAAATCCAAAGATATTATAATATTAAAGGATTAAGATTTTTTCATACATAAAATAATGTATAATAATTTATTTTTATATTACTTTCCATATTGAACTATTTTATTTTTCTTATTATTAATTATTTAATTAATTTTATGGTTTAATTAATTCACTAATTTTTTGATTAATTTTATAAATGTACTAATCACTTTTATTGCTGTACATTTTAATTGATAATTTTTTTTTTTTTTTTGTAAATCGCAGGACTTTTTCCATTACTCGGCAATGCGGCTATGAATGTGAGACCTTCATTGTTGACTGTTTACGAAACTCATTTTGTGCCCCTTGGTGAAAGATTGAGACCAGGACTAAGTGGATTTCTCAGTGGAGTTCTTCCAGGCTTAGAAGAAGGTTCCGATCATTTTGATAGGTAAAAAAAAATTCTTCTATTTAAAAAAAAGAAATTAAATTAAAAATACAAAATTAAAAGAAAACAATTGAAAAAAAATAATTTAAAACACATTAAATAAATTCAAAAACAAAAATTATTTTTTTCTGAAAAAATGGAAAATAGTACAAAAAAAATATTTAATAATAAAATAATAATTATTATCTGAATTAATTAATCAACTCAAAAGAAATTAGGAAAATTTTCTCAAAAATAAAATATTTAGATAATTTAATTTAATTTAAAAAAAATTATTTAAATTCTTTTGTTTTGTGTAATTTTCTAGGACTAATTCTCTATTGGAAAAAGTGTGTGATGGTGTGGGCGCTGAACATTTTTACGCATGTTTATGGGATTGTTTAGCGTCAAATTCAGGAATTCGTTTGCCTGCTATTTTATTTGTTTTGTCGCATTTTAATAAAAAACTGCCAATGGAAGAACAACTTTATATTATGGGAACAAAAATCGAAATAATGGTATGATGTGAACAATTTATTTTTATATATTAATTTATAAAAAAAAAAAATTTTTAATATAAGTCCAAGGGAAAATAATATACTTGTGCACGAGTATTTTCTTTATCATTGACTTCAAGTCTCATTCGTTATCTCATTCTTTGACTGTCAAGTTCTCGAGTTTATCTATAAACAAGTTGTCGTTTATATTTAATCATTGCGAGTCAATAAACCTCATAAACTGAGTCACATTTATCATAATTTTTTTAAACTAATTGTATAATAATTTTTTTTCCCTAACGCTTTTTATGATTTTAAATATATGATTAATTTTTTCTTATATCAATGTCATTTTTTTGAAAATTTATTTTTAGATCTATTTTTTTATTTAAAAAAAAAAAAATTCTATTTTAATTTAATTAAATTTTCGAATTCAAATTCTGGTTTTTAGATGAAAATTTTTTTTGTTAGTTTTTGATACGAAAAATTATAAGGTGTAAAGCAAAAAATTTTGGATTTTTCGAGTTTTTATTTCTTTGGATATTAAAAATTTAGAATAATAATAATAATGGAAAAATATTTTTTTTTTTGCTTTAAAAAGAAAAAGAATTGTAAAAATATCGTGCCTTAAAAGAGTTTGAAATACAATTGGAAAATAATTTAATAAAATTGAAATAATAATTTAAAGATTTAAATTTCGATGATTTTGAAATATAATTTATGAATTATTATTGTTTTCTTAAGATTACCGCTATTTGTGCGGGCGTGCAAGATAGTTCTGTTTTGGTCCAGAGAAGCGCTTTAGATTTATTACTAGTCGGATTTCCTGTCCACAATAGTCAACTATGCCGGGATGACATGGTTTCATTATTAACATCAGCTCTAGTCACAATTTTACGAAGAGACATGAGTTTAAATAGGTAAAAAAAATTTAATATTTAGAGTGAACACAATTTTTCTTTTTTAATATTTTATCATATTTATTTTATGTTTTCTTTATTTTTTAATTTTAATAGTTTATGTATTTAATTTCTTATCTTTTAGTTTTTTTAAAATTATTTTTCTGTGATTGAATTTTGAATATTTTTACTTGTTTTTTTTTTTTATCTAGACGATTGTTTGCTTGGCTTTTGGGAAGTGAAGTGAATACATCGATACTTAAAAAAAAGGCAGATCCAGTTGCCACTGAAACTTCGGCAGCTTATTTTGAATTATATTCCAAAGGCATGCTAATTGAGGCTATAAAATTGATGCTAAAGACAATATGCGATGAAACGCCACAGGAATTAAAACCATATAGGATTCTTGTTTCTTTATTAGATAAAGCAGACATTGGTCCTGTTATTCTTGATGATATTCTCTATGAAATTTTTAGGTAAGAGAAGGAAAAAAAAATTAATTTATAATTAGAAAAGAGACAAGAGTTTTTCGTAAAAACGGAAAAAATTTTTATTACAAACTATCAATTTTTAATGTAATTTTTCATTTTTTAGTAAATTCTCTTTTTTTCCCCTTAAATTCTTCTTTTTTCGTGGGAGAAAATTAGTAAAATTTATTTATTTTTACAAAACGAGACAAAATTCTCGATTTTTCCCTCCAAGTTTTGTATTTTTTTTTTTTTGTAATTCCTAAAATTATTGTTTTTTTTTTAAATTCCTTCTTTTCTACGACTTTCTATTTAAAATTTTCGATATTCTTTTTATTTTATAAAATTGTTTTTTAAAATGAATTTCCCCCTTGAAATTCTAAATTTGAATTTGCGAGAAAAATGGATAATTTTTGGCCAATTTGTTAATAAATAACTAAATAAGTTTTAGAAATTTCATAAAAAGGAAAATTTTGTTGTGTTAATTAATTAATTTATTCTTACAAATTAAACGAAAATTATCCAATTTTTTCTTGCAATTTCTCCTTTTATTATGAGGAATTTATAAAATTAGCAAATTTTTCAAAATCACTTAAATTCAATTATTTTTGATAATTTCAATTTATATATTAAAATTCTAAAATTTAATTATTTTCAAAATTTTCCATCTAAAACTTTTTGAATTTTAATAATTTCAATTAAAACTTTTTCTAAATTCAATTATTTTTAATGATATTTTATAATATTCTTCGACATTTCAATTATCTGAAAATCAATTATCATTATCATTATCAATTATCAATTATCAATTATCTTTTTCAATGAAAAATATGTAAAGTTCAATTTTTATCTGTAATTTTTAATCAATTCTTTAGCAACAGAACATCACCGAAAATTTGAATCTAAAATCACTTGAAGAATAAATATTTTCAAAAATCTTTAAAAATTCAATTACTTTTACAAAATATTATGTAAAGTTATTTGATAAATTATTTACAATTCTGTAAAATTCAATTATTTGTAAAAATTTTAACTGTGATTTTTATAATATTCTTCAAAAATCCAATTATCCGAAATCATTTTTCAATTAAAATCTTTTTAAATTTAATTTTTGTCTATAATTTCTTATAAATTCTTCAGCAACAGAAATCATTAAAAATTGCAATTGAAAATGACTTAAAGTTCAATTATTTTCAAAAAAACTGAATTGTAAATCTTTGAAAGTTCAATTATATTTTAAAAAATATTACAAGTCTACAATTGTTTGATAAATTATTTGTAATTCTGTAAAATTTAATTATTGTCTGAAATTGAAAAAAAAACAACTTTAAATTCAATTATTTATAAAAATTCCAACTCTAACTCTTCTAAAATTCAATTATTTTTAATAATTTTAATATTTCAAATTAAATTCAAAACAAATTCAGTTATTTAAAAAAGTTTCAAATAAAAACTCTAAAATTGAATTATTGTCAGAGGAATTAAAAAGAAACTACAGCTGCTGTTAATAATTTTTTTAACTATTTAAATTTAATTAAAATAAAAAATCATCTTTTTCTACTTTTTTTATTTTTATTTTTCAACAAAACACAAAATCAAAGTTGAAATGAATAATTTTTTTATATTAAAAAAAAAACAGAATATCTAAATCGGTTTTTTATTAATTTCAATTAACAAAAAAAATTTATTAATCAACATTTTTAATAAATAGAATTTGTAAATTTAAATTAATTGAATTTTTATTATCGCAAAAAAAAAAATTCTAAATTCTAAATTTTTGTTTTCCAGGACATTTTACAATGCATGCGATCAAGGTGATAAAATTCAAAAATCCAACGAAGTAGTAAAATCAGCGAATCTTTTATTCTCAACCCTTGAGCCATCGTACGTTTGGACGCATTGTGGTGTTCTTTATGAGAAAGCATGTAAATTACGATTAAATAATCGTGAATATTCCGATGCAACTGTAAAATCAGTTGGCAGTGGAATGCCGGGTTTAATGGAAATATGTACTCTCATGGAATTTCTCCTCGATACAGTGTCACTTGATGCATTTATCGATGCACCGTCCGAACATTTACCAAAATTATTTCACGATATTATTATAAATCTTTTATATCACGTTGATATTTTATTGCCAATGGAAATTGAAAAAAGTCTAAGTTTATGTGCAAAAATTCTCACAAAAGTTCAATTAACCGAAACGGGCGCATCATCATCATCATCATCTGCTGCCGCTAATGCTGCTGTTGCTTCTTCTTCTTCTTCTTCGCATTTAGAGAAACGTGAACAAGAATCAAAATCCGAAGCCATCAATATTTCAGTATCAATATCAAATGACAATACCCTATCGGCAATACCACTTGAAAAAAGTCAATCGGACAGTAAATTAAATAAAGCCGAAGTTAATAGTAATCTTGATCGTAGTCCAAGTCCAAGACGACGAGCAAATTCAAGTGGCGCTGCAAAAAAACAGGAGAAAAAATCAAAAAAAAAAGCAAGTAAAAGTTCATCAAAATTAAATGATGTTTCAACAATACAAACTGATGTTAATAATATTGCTGTGATTGTTTGTGACAATGAAAAAATATTATTGCCACGTAATAAAAGTATGGAAAATTTAAAAACAGAATTCAACGAAATTGAAAGTCATGAAAATCGAACAAATCTCAATTTAACGAAAAATACATCATTGGGATCAAATGGATCAATTAGTAGAGGACCATCACCAGGATTAAGGGCACAGCATTCAATGTTGGAAAAATGTTTACGTCAATATGAGCAATTTTATGTGAAATTAATTATCACAAGAATTATTAATCGTGAACGTTCTGTTATTGAAATGTTCGATGATTTAAAAATAACATGTTTCAAGGATAATTTTCAAGAGAAAACAAGATTACTTGAATCATTGCTCAATTCGAAAATAACACATCAAGATTCGGGTTACTTTAGTCATGATCAAAATTCATTGGACGATGATTTAGTAAAGAGGGCCGATATTTTTTCACTTAATCTCGAGTCAATAACATCAACAGCTTGGGAGGAAGTTTTGAAAATTGGTTGTAGTCTTTTTGTTGAATTATCAACATTTCCCACGTATTATTTAACTGGCGATGGATTATTGACTGAGGATGAGCCACAGGGTAAAAATATTTTGCCAGAATGGTTAAAAGTTCTTGTTGTTTGTTCATGTTGGTTGGGTAAGCAACCGTCATTACAAATGACGAGTATTGCAACACTATTGGATCTCATTGCTTTATCAAAGGCGCACGGTGATTTTAAACCACATCAACATTCCGGTGAGGGTGTTACTTCGGTTGTGATGTTACCATTATTGAAACAATGGCATATTTCCTATCTTGAGCAGTACACAAATGTTTTTCAAGTATTGGCACATTCGCTGTGGCATCATTTGGGTGAATTGCCAGCGCACAAATATCGAATTCGATGCGTTGAATTGCTTCATGAATTACATCATACTTTGGAGAAATCGTGTGATGCTGTGGAGGATGTAATTGGATCGGCGCTGATGAATGACAATGTGGAGAAAAGAATTGAAGCCTTCGATAGGTGAGAATAATTTTTGATGATTTTTTTCATTTTTTTTTTTTTTATTTATATATTGATTGGAATTTTAATTGCGTAGAGTTTTACTTATACCAAAATTAATGAACCAAAAATGATTGGTTCATTTCAATAATTAATTAAATGAAAATTTGTATTTTGTCAAATTTTAATAATTTTATAGAGTTTATATTGAAACAAATTTTTCTAACGAAGAACTTTAATTTAATCAAATTTGTATTTAAAAGGAAGTAGAATTAATATTGAAATGAATTTTTATTTAACCAAAATGGTATTTAACAGAATTTCTATTTAACCAAAAATTTTTAAAGCGCATATTCTCTAGTTAACCGAATTAATAATAAAGAGAATTTTCATTTTTTTTTTTCATTTTTTTCTATTTAATAGAATTGTTCTTTTATCGAATTTATACTTGCTTGAGTATTCAATGAACGGAACATTTATTCTTAAAATGAATTCCCGCATTTTGTAGATGTTTTTAAAGCTAATTTTCATTAAACAGAATTTTTTAAGAATTCAATGAAATGAATATTTGGAAAAATTCTGATATTTAAAAATTTCATTAATTGTAAGTAAAAAGTCTATTAAATGAAAATGCTAATAAATAAATAAATAAATAAATAAATTATAATTTTATTACATAAATGAAAATTGAATTAACTTTAAATTCAATTAAAATTCCGTTAATTTTTGTACAAATTTTATTAATTATTTGAAGACAATTTAAATTGTTTGATTAAATAAGATTTCATATTAACTTTAATTAATTTATTAATAATTATTTTGCGATAATTTCAATAATTTTATTGTATAATTAAAGATTTTTGAATTATTTCACTCAAATAATTGACGCTATTTTTGATTAATTAATTGAGTAAATAATTAAAAATATTTCAAATAATTTCATTCAAATATTTCAAGAAATTCTAATATTTTATAATGTTTTCAATTATTTTTTGAAAACGATTGGAAAAAATATCAAATTTATTGAAAATGCTACTAAAATTTTAATTTTTGAAATTTTCAATTTAAATTTTTGCTTCTAAAAATTATTGTCTTAATTTTTTATAATTGAAATTCTCTTGAAATATTGTCATTAGGTTCAGAGAAAAAATTTAAATTCTGACTGGAAATCAGGGAAAAAGAAAATTTAATTTTTTTAAATAATTTTAATTATTTTACCGACTAATTTATATATATATATAGATATATTTATTGAAAATATTCGGACAAAGCCCATTCGTTTTAACTTAAAAATATTTAAATCACTTTGAATTTTTTAAATTTTATAAAATAATATATTTATAGTTTAAAATAACCACTACTATAAGAATCTTAGTTTAAGATAAACGTTTAAAATTCAAAATTAAGAGGAAAAATTAAAATCCACAGAATTTGGGAATTTGTAAATTCATACTTCGGAATTTTTTTAAATGCCTTTTTCAGATAATAATTAAATTTTTGAACAACTATTAAAATTATTACAAATTATTGATTTGACGAAGAATTTTAGATAAAAATTTATAAATACTTAAATTTTTCAAATAGTTCCTATTCAAATTTTTATAATTAATTTCAGAAGATTTGAAATTGGAATTTTTTATAAATTTAAATTGCTGAAGATTTTTTAAAATAAATTTTTAACAATAATTGAATTTTTGGAGAATTTTTAATTAAAAATTTTTGCAAATAAATTTTGTGGAAATTAAAATTAATATGTTAAAAACAATAATTTTAATTTGTTAATTGCTTAAATAATTAAGTTATTGAACAAGTTTATTTCAAAAATAATTCAATAATTAAAAAATTTATTTTAAATTATAATGTAATTAAATTTTTTGAAATAATAATAATAATTTAAATTATATATTTTGAAAATAATATTGACTTTTTGAATATAGGATTTAATTAAAAGAATTCTAAGTGTTTGAAATTTTTTGTAAAATTTGATTGGAATCTTTCAAAATTTGAATTTTTTAACGAATTAGAATTGTTCCTTATGCAATGTTTATTTAACATAATTTTTATTTATCATTATTTTAAAAAAATATATAATTTACATTTAATAAAAAAGAATAAAATTCGAAAATGTCAGGGAAAAATATTAATTATTCAAGTTGATTCCACATTTATTTCAGAATCGATTCGGAATTTTTTCTTAATTAAATTCAATTTTCAATTCCAAAAATAAATGTGAAATTCAATTTTTGTTTATATTTCAATTTTTATTTTTGCATATTTATTTTAAAAATTTATATCCTACATTCTAAAATTTATTCATTATAAAATTTATTATTTATTTAATTAATTAATTAATTTTTTTATCAATAGATTCTCGATGCTATGGCACCTTGGACGTGAAATCGAAACAAATCCACGACTTCGAGGTTGTTTGCGAACTTTTGATAAGTCTCTATTAAAAATGTTGGACAATTTACAATTACCCGACAATTCACCACTAAAACTTCAATCGCAATCGTGGCTTCTTCATAGTTTAGTGAGAGGTGATATATCACGTGTTGTCACACCAGTTCTCATGATGCTTCTTGATCCATTAACTTGTCGAATGAGTGTTCTTCATGTTAGTATTCAACATAGTAATATTGTATTGACAAAAAGTGATCCAATTGAAGAAAAATCAGAATTTCACGACGACACCGAGGGAGCAACGAATATTTATGCAATTAGTTCCGTTGATGGAAATGTTATTTATCATGTCAGTAATAATTCCGAGGAGGATAAAAAATGTCGTAAGGGTAAAAAGAAAAAAAAAACAATTAATCCAGTTAAAGTGAAGAGAATTTTTGCCGTCACTACATTAACATCAGGTGAAAATGGACATCGTTATATTACTGAACGTAATGAAACAATGAAAGAACTTGAGGTACCATCGAGTATTGCTGGAAATCGACGAATTTCCGTTTTTGTTAATCCATTGTCATTGAATGGTACGGAAAATTCAAATGATTCACTAACAGAGGAGGATTCATTAATGGCAGCGAAAAAAATTAATGCACCAACATCTGATTTATTGAAACACGCAAAACGATTTAGAAAACCAAAATTTAATAAAGGCTCAACTGGAAGTTTAGATGAGAGTTTATTTGATACGACAAATTCAAATTCAAAAATAAGGGAAAAAGATGAATTGAAAAAATATAATGGCGATATTGGTTCATCATTGGATTCATTGGCAAATAGTTTTGAATCAAGTAGTCCTGAAGTTACGGTAAAACAACCGAAAAATAATAATAATAAAAAAGAAATGATGATTATTCCAGGTAGTGATAAAGAAATCGCTGGTACGATTTTAAAGGGAAAATATCAAAATACATCGAGTGAATTTAGTGGTTATGATGTTAATGATGTTGGGAGTTTTGAAGCAACCAGTGAAATTCCAAGTTGGACAATGGGAGATGATGAGAGTGAACTTGAAGCCAGTACAACAGCCGAGGATTATTTTAGTAATTGGAGTGCAATCAGTGTTGTTGAAGATGTTCTCAATGATGTGATGGATCGTGTTATGTTGATTTGCGATGATTCAGAACCCGCTAAAATTGTGAGTCAAATTTCTTTTTACTTTAGTGAAGAAAAAAAAAAGTTTTTTTTTAATAATTAAAATAGATTTTTTTTTGAAATTTGGGAAAATAATATTACTGTTACTGTTTTTTCTGGCATTATTTAGGGACTAAAATTATTGAAATTTGAAAAAAATAATGAATTTTATTTATTAAATATTAATGAATATTTTGATTATTTTAGAACGATTTTTATTTATTTCAAAAGAATTTTATTTAAATTTTATTTGATTAAAAATAAAAGTGCTTATAGTAAAGAAAAATATTCTTAACACTCTTTTTTTTATAATACACAGTCAGATGATTCAATGCAAATGGATACGGATGTAAGACGAAATGCAGGCGTTGGAGTTCACAATCTTCATTCGCACATGTTACTTTATTGTGGTGTTTATGATTCGGAAAGAACTCTCTATGCTCTTCGTACATTGCGCAATGAATTGTTGACAAATGCAAGAATGTTTTTATGTGCGGCCGCAACAACTGGTATTGCCAATAATACAAAAAGTACAGCATTATTAAATCTTCTTGCCAGACATCGAAAAAGTATATTTGGACGAAGTTTTTATGGCGATGTAGCGAATACAGAATTTTTAGCAGCCTATCGAAGTAGCATGTATTTGGAAGTATTAATAAGTGTATGCCTTTATTTTGCCCGAAGTTACTATCCAAATCTTGGACAAATGCGACTCACACAGGAGGAAATCTCAGGAAACAGACAAGTATGGAGCAAAATTATATATTTTTTTATTATTCATAAATATAATAATAAAAAAAAAATTGTTTTTCTTTCTGTAAAAAAAAGTTAATTAATTTTTTTCTTTTAAATTACAAAACAATAAAAAATAAAGTAATTTAATTGAAATATAATTAAAGAAATTTTGATTTAATTTTTCCAGGTTCAATTGTCGAGTGTTGAACTATTGACACTCATTTTTTCCGAATTAATTCCAATTGCACGTGAGTCTGGCAAAGGATTCAGTTGCTATATTATTGATCTTTTGACAAAATGTAAAGTTCAAAAAGTGGCACTTCACTGTCTTGCCTCCAGTGTATTGAATATGAAGAACGCGCAAAAAGATAATGAAGACGCATTCACATTTACTGAGGAAATTGTCGCCTTCAATGATCCTCAAGCGGAAAATGATGTTAATAAATGTAAATGCAGAGCCAGCGATCATACCGAGGCTTTTCAAATGCAGTTACTACGGTAATTTTGTTACTTTTCTTTTCAAATTGAATTTTTTTTTTTTATATTAGTTAATACAGGCCTTGGATTATTAACAATTTTTTAATTAATATTCTTCTCTGAATTAATTATTTTCATTTTCAATAATTTTAATGAAATTCTTCACAAATTCAATTATTTTAAACTATTTTTGAATTAAAAATTTTGTAAAATTTAATAATTATTAAAAAAAAAAAATTTTAATCAGCAAATAAAATTATACAAAAAATTTCAATTTAAAATTAAAATCTTTATAATAATGATGATTTTATCACTCGGTTGTATTTAATAATGAAGATGAATATATCGATTTCTCCGAGTCATGATGATGATTGATGACTCGGAGAAATCGATATATTCATCTTCATTATTAAAATCTTTATAACTTCAATTATCTTAAACTATTTTTCATTGAAAAATTTTATTAAATTCAATTATTTTCAAAAATTTAAATTTCAATCCTAACATTTAATTATTTTTATAATTTTCTATCTAATACTTTCTGAAATTTAATAATTTCAACTAAAACTTTTTCTAAATTCAATTATTTTTATAATATTCTTCAAAAATTAAATTATCTGAAAGCAGTTTTAAATTAAAAACTTTTGAAATTCAATTTTTGTCTGTAATTTCTAATAAATTCTTCATCAACAGAAATCATCGAAAATTTAAATCATGAATCACTTGAAGTTCAATTATTTTCAAAAATCTGCAAATTGTAAATCTTTAAAAATTCAATTATTTTGAAAAAATCTTATCTAAAATTATTTGATAAATTATTTACAATTCTGTAAAATTTAATTATTATCTGAAATTTAAGAAAATCGTTTGAAATTGAATTATTTTTAAAAAATTTTAACCTTTATCTATTCCAAAACCTAATTATTTTTAATAATTTTAATATTTCTTTAAAAATTCAATTATTTAAAAAAGTTTCAAATTAAAACTCTAAAATTGAATTGTTGTCAAAAATTAAAAAAAAAAAAAAAACTACAGCAGTTTAAATTTTTTTTTTCAAAGTAGTTCGATTCTTAAATATGCGAAATAAATTTTCTTGATAATATTCTTATAGAATTATTATTATTATTTATTCATAGTCCACACCTTTCGGTTTCGGACGAACTTCCGGTTTACATCTTTCTATTCTTATATTACATTAAAATAATTGCACAAAACTTAAATTTAAAACTTAAATTAAATCAAAATGTGAGTAAACTATAAACTAAACTATAAAAGTCGTAATTCTCTTTTAACTATATTAAATCAAAATCTCTTTATAGAATTATTATTATTAAGGAGTTAATAAACTGAATTGAATATCTAATAACATTAGTTATTTAAAGTAAAATATTTGTTAATTATTTAAATTTAGTTAAAATGAAAAAAATCAAATTTTTCGACTTTTTTTAAAATGTAAATTGATTAAAACGACTTTTTTTGCTCCTTAAAATCGATTCGAGGCCTATTAATATTAATAATTATTAATATTATTAATGATTTTTAATTAGAAAAACAAAAAAAAACTTAATTTAATATTTAAATTAAGATTAAGTAAAAGATTTTAAAATCAATTTTTAATTAATGTCGTAGGATTTTATATTGAAAAGTGATATTTTAATTTCTTAAAATATTTCAGATTAATGCTTTCATTAATAATGCTCGAACATCAAATTGGTGGGCAAAAGGGAGAAGAAATCAGTTCAACGATTCCAACAACTTTATCGTCACCATCGCGAGTAACACATAATCTCACAGGAAATACTTTGAAATACGTCACAGGATCACCGATTCCACAACAACCCATGTTTCTTGCCAGTATTATAAGCGCTTTAAAATTAGTAAGTTTTTTTATTTTTATTTTCCATATTAATTTGTAATTTATAATTCGATTTGTGGTCAGTTTATCAACGAAAATTCGTAAATTCATTGTAAATTTGTTATAATTGTAAAAAAAAAATGTAATTTATTAATGTGTTAATAATTATATTAAATTTTTAATTTTTTTTTTAATTTTAAGTAATTTATCTAATTTTTGATTTTTTTTGTGACAGGATCACATGAGACATTTGCATCAATATTGGACGACACTTGTGACGTCGAGTCTACCATTTATGGGTCCTTCGTTGACGCACATTGTCACATCTGTGATTCATCGATTGTGTTGCAATATCGAGCAATTGGCATCTTATTATATTAATGAGGAAACAGTGTCTGTTACAAAATTGGAAAATATTACAAATGTTGAGTGCTGTCTACCAGCAGATTATACAGTGACTCATCTTGAAGCTTTGACTTTTCTTTTACATTATTGCCTACTTGATACATCACAACAAATTGGATTTTCATTTAATCATCCGCTGAGCGGTGCAATTCAAACCGGTGTCTCTGGCGTTAAACCCGGACAAATTTTCAACAATTTACTACATGTTTTTATGCCAAGTCCACTTTCACCGGTAAAATTTTATTTTAATTCTAATTCTCATTTTTGTTCGTAATTTTTTTAAATTATTAAATTAATTAATCTTCAATTCTTTACTTACAATTATTTTGAGAAAATTCGTTGATTTGGTTATTTTTTTCTTCGACGAATTTTTCTATTTAAGGACTTTTTTTAATTTGAATTTTCAATTTGATTGATTTTTTCAGTTATTCAAAAAATGAGAAATCTAATGAAATCGCGACTTTAAAATAAATTCTTTTATTATAATTATTTAAAAGAATTTAAAAAAATATTCGAAAAAATAGTAGTTTATTTCTAAAAATGTAATATATTAATAATATTAATTTACAGTAATATTATTTTTAGAAAATATTACATATTCTTTTTTTTTCTAATCAGGATCTTGGAGCGATAAATAAAACAGGATCCAGTGAGCAACATTCTCATGCGAGAAGAACTGCCTTGAGTCATTTGCCGCGAATAATTGCTTCTCTTTCGGCCCTGTGGCAAGCGGTTTTGGCGACAAGAGACAAGTAAGTTACATTTAAAAACATTTTTTTAAAAATTATTTTACATATCAACCCATAAATGATTGCAAAAGAAAAAAAATTAAAAAAAAAGGTAGTTTAAATTTGATATTTGGTACATTATTTAAATAGAAAAATTTGATTGATATAATTTTCAAAATTTGACCAACAAATACAAAAGGTGCTGGAGCAATTTTCGAAACGTATCATTAAGGACACCAAACAACAACAAACACCCATAGCAATTTTTTTATTTTTTTATTATAATTTTTCTAGTATAATGTCAGTGTTTTGACATATTCTGTTTTTGAGTCGAGCTCTTCAATCGATATTTGTAACATTTTTTTTATCATATTTTCTCATATAAAAAAGTTGGTTCATAGTTAAAGTAAGTTCAACTTTAAAACAGATATTAATCTGAAAAGAAAAGTACTTTCAAAATCGACTTTACACTTTAAAAAACTTAAATATTCTCCAAAATTTAGAAACAAAAAAATATCACCTACAGAGATAACATATTTTATTAAAAATTAATCTTCAATGATTTTGGTTAGAATATAACATAGAATGACTCAATATAAAAAAAAAGAAATTATCGCAATATTGTTAGTTGAGTTTGTGCAAGGAAACTATAAGAAAACTTCGAATATAATTTGTTATTGATTTATTTTCCATCATACAAAACAATTTTGTAGAAGTATAAAAATTTAGCACAATGGTAAAATATTTTTCCTGATATTGATTATGTAATAAAAAAGAATTATCAGTTAATTGCATTGACATTGGAATTCAAAAAAAAATTCTGAAAATGATACTAAAATTATTTATCAGCATTGCATTATTATTTTTTAATAATTTAAAAATAGAAGGCAATAATATAAAATGGATAGAAGATTTTACCAAAATTTTTCAAAAAAATCAACACATTTATCAGGTAATATTTTTAATGAATGAGAAAATCGTGATATCTAATGAAATTAATGACATACTAATTAGAAAATTGTCCAAAATTATACCGATTCAAAAAATTGTCACACCAAACTCTAAAATACCAACAAAATTGGATTACGTTACTTACAATCCACGGATTTCGCTATTTATTCTCACAAATTCCAAAAGTGATCCTCAATTTACTAAATCATTCGATTATTTGACACAGCTCTCAGAATCAAAACGTCGACCAAAATGTTTGCTTCTACTATCCCACGAGCTTTTGAATTATCGTAAATTTTTCGAAATGCTTTGGACTAATCAATTCCTGGATGTTACTATTATCGAAATTCAAAATCGTATTATTAAAATTGATTTAAAATATCGAGAGAAAGATTATCGATCAGATTTTAATATTCTGCATTACAATCCATTCTTAAAATTGATTACCAATAAAACTGTTTCTGCAAAAACAATTTGGTTTCCGGACAAGCTGAAAAATATGCACGGTTATCCACTAAAAGTGTCTTTACTACCGTGTCCTCCGGATGTATTTCCTAAGAGAAATCAATTAGAAAAAGGTTCTGGATTAGCAATGACGAAAATAGAAAGCTTGAAAGAAGTTATGAATTTCACGTTTGTGAATCTAACATTTAATGATTGGGGAAGATTGATATGTAACAAAGAGGAAAGTACGGAAGTTATTCATGCACTTTTTAGTAATAAAATTCAGATGATGGGTTTGGAAAGAGCCAGATCATTGTGCAATGGCAAAGGCATAGAATTTAGTAAAGGTTTACAAATGATTGAATTTGCATTAATTGTGCCTCTTGTGATAAAAGATGATAATTCAATAATATATCAAAGTCACTTAGCGAATATTTTCATCGTGATGATTTTGCCTCTATTTTTTTGGATTGTTTCACGAATATTGCATTTTGATAAAAAGAAATGGAAAATTGACTACATGGTTCGAATGATCTTCGGAACAGTTATCCCAGAAGAACCTGAAATGAATGTAGAGAGAATAATTTTTGCAGCTTTTCTTATCGGATGCTTCATGTTCTCCTCGGATATTTTTTCATCGATAACGGAAGACCATTTGCCAATTAAACCATCCTTCAAGTATGAAAATTTAAAAGATGTTCTTTCCTCCAATTTGCAGACAATGATTAAACAGAACAATTTAATGGTATTAAAAGATACTGAGGATTCCACTCATCAAGAGATTATAAGAAAATCGGTTGCAATGGATGTTACAGAGGAGGAATGTTTGGAGCTGTTATTAAAGTATAAAAACACATCGTGTATTCTTGAAATTGTAATGGTAAAATTAATTCTTCGAAATAAGGTTGATAAATGTGGACAACAACTTGTTAAAATTTTGGATGATACATTTCTATCATGTCCATCAGCTACGTTGCTTGGTGCTGGCTCTCCTTATGCTAATCGTATGGATCAAGTTACTCAAAGACTTATTGACAGCGGTCTCAGTAAAAAGTGGATGGAAGCTTATTCTATGAGAAAATTTACTCAAATTGGAAGATCTTGTACTTCTAAACAAGTGGAATCCGTTATGACAACTCGACAATTGATTTATATTCTCGCTATTGGATTTTCATTTTCGTTTCTTACTTTCATTCTCGAATTAATTATTTATTATATTTTTAAAATTAAGTAAATCGTATTTGGAATAATTTTGTGCTTTGTTCTTATAAAATACTGAATAAATTGATCTGAGATTTCGTGGAGAAGTCTAAAATTTTAAATATAATAAGAAACGACGTCGATGAAGTTCACAACGTTTATGATCAACGATTGAAAAAAAAAATATATTTTCCAATAATAAAATAATAACTAATTTTTGCCTACAAATTTTTTTTCAAAAAATTATTGATCAAGAAATGATGAAAAAAATTTTTTAGATCAAAAATAATAATAATTTGTATAGAAAAATATTTTTTCTTCTCAATCGTTGATCATAAACGTTGTGAACTTCATCGTCGTAAGAAACGACTGTTACAAACAAAATTTGTATATATTGTTAAATTAAAATATTTTGGAAAAATTGTAAGAAAATCCAAATAGTAAAAATACTCATAACTTCATATTTTTAAACAATGTTTCTAACAATATTTTAGATTTCTCCATTAAATCTCAAAGTCATATCAATTTAGTTCAATATATTATTTTGAAGAGTGCAGATTCAGAAAAAAAATGACATCGATTATGAAAGCCGCCCAAAAATAACATTTTAAACAATTTCAATAATTTTCCAAAAGGTTTTAAGCGATTTTTTACTCAAGAAAATTTTAATATAATAAATAAATGTATTTTCAATTATTATATGAGGCATTTCATATGAGAATACGGGGTCATGTCTCGGATTTTTCTTCAAATTCGGTAAATTGTAGTAATAGTGGTGCTAAATAAGTGTACATGAAATTTTGAATTTGAAATTTTTAATATTTTTCGAGATATTTACAATAACAAATTTCAGCAATATTTTTTTGCTTTACTTATAACTTTTTTCCTGTTAAAAATAGAGAAAAATGTTGTAAATGTTTTTTACGCGGAAGATCTTAAACTTTTAGAAAAAAATTATTTTTTTAAAAAAATATTAATTTTTAAACAATTGGTTTAAAAAATAAAATTTGTTTATAACTTTTAACCATGTTCTCTTTCATTTAGAAACGTGAAAAAAATCATGAATATTGTTTAAGTCATAATAAATCGATGGTTAAATTTTTGAGATGGCATTATTTTTTGTTTTCGAGAAATTAATTAATTAACTAACAAAAGTTAATAAAAAATGAAATATTTTACGAACAAATAAAATTAGAGTAATTTTAAAAACACCATTAGAATGCTTATCAAAATCCGCATCCAACGAGCCCTATATGAACTATTTCTAATTAACGGGTGTTAAATTAATAATAATTAATAAAATTTATTTTAATAATTAATAACATTTGAAGAAATGAAGATAAATCGTCAATTCTTTTTTTATTTGGAAGACCATCTAATTCTGTGCCAAAAAAAAAAAATATTAAGTATTACCAAGAATCAAAAATTAATTATAAAATGTTATTTAGAAAAAGACTGAAAAATACCATGCCGAGTAGGTAGGCAGCCTCCTCCAACTTGTGTCGTAGGGTGCTTATACCTCAATTTTCAATAATCATCTGTTATTAATTTAGATTTGTTAAAAATGTTATTTACACTCGTTTTATTTATCACAGAATTAGATGGTCTTCCAAATAAAAAAATAATTAACGATTTATCTTCATTTCTTCAAATGTTATTAATTATTTAAATAAATTTAATTAATTATTATTAATTTAACACCCGTTTATTAGAAATAGTTCATATAGGGCTCGTTGGATGCGGTTTTTGATAAGCATTCTAATGGTGTTTTTAAAATTACTCTAATTTTATTTGTTCGTAAAATATTTCATTTTTTATTAACTTTTGTTAGTTAATTAATTAATTTCTCGAAAACAAAAAATAATGCCATCTCAAAAATTTAACCATCGATTTATTATGACTTAAACAATATTCATGATTTTTTTCGCGCTTCTTAATGAGGGGAGAATATGTTTAAAAGTTATAAACAAATTTTATTTTTTAAACAAATTGTTTAAAAATTAATATTTTTTTTAAAAAATAATTTTTTTCTAAAAGCTTAAGATCTACCGCGTTAAAAACATTTATAACATTTTGTTCTATTTTTAATAGGAAAAAAGTTATAAGTAAAGCAAAAAAATATTGCTGAAATTTGTTATTGTAAATATCTCGAAAAATATTAAAAATTTCAAATTCAAAATTTGTACACTTTTTTAGAACCACTATCACTACAATTTACCGAATTTTGAGAAAAATCTGAGACATGACCCCGTATTCTCATATGAAATGCCTCATATAAGTCACTTAACCTTCGAAAAAAATATTCTTATTTTATCAAATTTTCCAATCAAAAAGATAAAAAATGTATTATGCAAGGAAAAAAACATAAAATAACCACTATTATTTGCATTCGTTTTTTTCTATCAGTAAAATATTATCTGTTTGAAGGA